TCCCAACCCTGTAGGGTTATATTGATTATAGACGATTGTGAATCGAGATACAAACGAGCGGCACGGTATCACGCACCGCCGGTCCCACCGTCGAGCAAGGCCAGCATATGGTTTACGAAACGGTGGACTATGGGCCGATTCAGCTCGATCTCGTAATCTTCCATGTCCTGGTGAAAAAAATGTATGTGGAATCGTTCCGCTGCCAGGAAGCCCGCCAGGACGAGCGGATCATCGTATTCGCGCTCCAGTGCGGACACCGCATTTTTCATCGCGCGGTGGCTGCGGTACTGCCAACCCCGCTGCTGGGCCAGGGCTGATACCACGTGGGTGGCCGCTCCGTACAACTTCTCCGAACCCTGCAGATCGTCTCCCGCAACGAATTCCCGGTCGGACGCCACCAGAAAGTCACGAGCGGCCTGGGCATGTTCCTGCGAGTTCATCTCTTTGGTGGTCATCTGTCCTTCCCGAGGAGACCTTCCAGCCTCCGAAACCATGCTAGCCCGGCTCGTCCGCTATCGTCAACCACCGCCCGTCGATTTCGTAGCGCCACAGCGAATCTCCGGGCTGTAACCCGGACGCCGGGTCTGGAGCAACGCTTGGCTCCCGCGTGGGCGTCGGCGTTAGATTCTGGGGCGCGGAGGTGGGGTCAGGCGGCGCGACGACTTGCACCGGTGTGGCGGTGGGCGACAGCGGCGGGCCGAGTTGGTCGACGATTGGTTCAGCAACGCCTGCTGCATAAACTTTCTCGTCGGCCGAACCGACATACACCAGTCCATCCGCCACCGCCGGCGAGGAAATCACCGGGCCATCCGTAGGCAAATTCCACAGCACGACCCCGGTTACGGAGTTAATCGCGTACAGGTGACGATCCCATGATCCAACGTAAAGCACCCCATCGACGACTGCTGGAGTGGACGCGACGGGAGCGCCGGTGCGGTATTGCCAAAGCCGGGCTCCGGTGGCGGCATCCAGCGCATATACGCTGTGGTCGCTGGAGCCAACGTACACCACGCCGTTGGCCACCGTCGGCGACGCTTGGATGCCGTCGTAGGCGGTATAATGCCAGATCCATTCGCCGGTCACCGAGTCCAGGGCGTACAGGTTCCCGTCGGAGGAACCCGCATATACCACGCCGTTCGATACCGCAGGAGTCGCATCAACGCGGCCGCCGGTGCCGTAGCGCCAGCGTATCTTGCCGTTGGCGGCGTCTATGGCGTAGATGCCGCCGTCCAGGGACCCCAGGAACAACATTCCATCGGAAATCACCGGAGCGGTAGGCGCAGTGGCACCCGCCCAGTTATCCCATAGCGGCGTTCCAGTTGCTGCGTCCATCGCGACCACGTAGCCATCGGCGAACGCCAGGTAAACCACACCGTCCGCCACGACGGGGGACGATGGGTGGCGGTAGCCGGTTTCCTGCCGCCAGAGTCGCTCACCGGTGGCTTCGTCGATAGCGTACAGATGGTGGTGGCTCGACGTAGTGTAAACCACGCCGTCAAACACCGCCGGAGTCGTGACCACATCGCCGCGGGTCTGGTACTGCCACCGCAATGTACCGGTTGCGGCGTCCAACGAATAAACGTGATCGTCGTTGGAACCGAAGTACACAGACCCGTCCGAAACCGTTGGCGATGACAAAACTTTACGTAACAGTTCAGACTCGACGTGTGATTTCCATACCACTCCGTCATTCCGGCCTTGAGCCGGAATCCAGAGACGCCTTTTAACTGCAATGTTGCTTATCATCGGCTCCCTGGATTCCCGCTTGCGCGGGAAAGACAGGTTGGGGCCAGGACACTACCTTCAACTCTGAACAGTTACAACTTTACCGCCGGTTTCGAAACTCCAGAAAAGTTCACCGGGCACCGGTTGCGGCACCGGGGTCGGAGTGGGGATCGGCGTGGGAATGGGTGTGGGAGCTGGGGTGAGAGTTGGTGTGGGTATCGCCGTGGTGGGGGTTGGTTGGGACGTTGGAACCACGGAAGGCGCCGGCGGAATGGCGGTAGGCGTACTTGTTGACAACGGGGACTGCGGAGTCGTGGGGGTGGCAGGTGAGGTCGTCTGCAGTGCGGCCGTGGGTGTCACTGACGGGAGGGGCGACGGCTCTGCGTCGCAACCGATGACCAACAACATAAAGGCTGCGGAAACCACCGCACCCAACATCACCGGTATCCGGGATTGCATCGTAATATCGAAAGTGCAGCTGATGGGAGCCTGGGTCAGAAGTCGCGGATCCGGGGCAAAACTTCGCGCCCGAACAGCGCGATGGATTCCATCACGGTTTCGTGCCGCAACCCGGGCTGCTGGAATGCCAGGTCCACGACGCCGACGCCGCATTTGTCGTGGTATTCCCGCAGCTGTTTCACCACGGTGTCCGGGCCGCCGACGAAGTTCATCATGAAACCAATACCCCGGTTTGCGTTGACGCGAGGCGGGTTGGCCGGCTTCAGTCGAGGGTCCGGGGGGGCATCAGGGGCCGGTTTTCCGGCATACCGATCGCCGGAGCTGGCATCGGGAGCTGTCTTACCGCCGGCTGCCTCGAGAATGCGGGCGAGCTGATCCTGCGCCGCACTGTCGGTTTCAGCGAGGCAGATGCCGCCCCGATAAGCGATATGATCGGGGGTGGGTTGCCAGCCGGCATCGGCGCAGCTCTGCCGGTACGCGCGAATTATGTTTTGCATATCGTCCACCGGGTCGTAGGAAACGGCGATGCCAAGCCGGTTTGCGGCGGCGTAGCGCACCGTTGGCTCGCTCCTGGTGGCCACAAATATGGGAAGAAGGGGCTGTTGAACCGGCCTCGGCCACACCGCCACGGTGTCGTACTGGTAATGCTCTCCGTGCCACGAGAAGGGTTCCGGCTGGGATATGGCATTCAGCACGATGTCCATCCCTTCCAGCAATCGGGATCTCGCTTCATCCCGGTCCACGCCGTGGACGGCGTCCTCATTGGGCGTGCCGCGCATAAACGCCACCACCAGACGCCCGTCGGTGAGGTTGTCCAGCATCCCGATCTCCTCGGCCACCCGGACGGGGTTGTTGATGGGCAGCAGCTTGCCCAGAAGGGCGATTTTAACCCTCCGGCACCGTTCGGCGACGGCGGCAGCCATCACGGCGGGATTGGGAGTGGTGCGGCTGCCCGAGTAATGGTGCTCGGATACGCTGATCCAGTCGAACCCGACGTTCTCGGCCAATTCACATTCTGCCAGGCCCTCCCGGTAGGTGCGCCGGGATGCCCCCGGTTCCTGATAGGCGGGCGGGGCCGGCCAGATCGCCGGCAGCTGGTGCCGATCCGAGTATCCCATACAAGCGAAATAAGATGCCTTCACTGCCCTTGCCTCCCGTGGGTGATCCCCGCCCGCCGCCGTGGGTTCAACGGGCATTGCTAACTGCTGGGCGTTTCGTGGTTCACCATCCAGTTGACTCCGAATTTGTCGATGCACGAGCCAAAATACGCGCCCCAGAACATATCACCGAGGGGCATGGTAACGGTTCCGCCTTGCGACAGCGCGTTGAACATACGCTCGGTTTCCTCCCTGCTATCGGGGGCAACACTGATGGAGAAATTATTGCCCGCGGTGCCGGGAGGCCCAAACGCCGAGCTGGTATCGCTGCCCATCAAAACGCCGGAGCCGATGGGCAGGCTAACGTGCATGATGCGATCTTTTTCGTTTTCTGGCGCCGGAAAATCGGGTGGCCCCTCGCCGAAGGTAGCAACGTGAGCAAACTCACCGCCGAAAACGGAGCGGTAAAACTCAAAGGCCTGGCGGCAATCACCATTGAAATTCAGGTAGGTATTGATGTCCATGTGATTCTCCTGGGTGTCCTGGATTTGACAAAGCTGGCCGCACCCACCGGGACAGGGACTGCTGCGTTCCTTTCGAAAACGGGCAGATCGAAGACGGGTAGATCGAAGGTGAGCAGAGCGGCGGATGGGCAGACTGGGGTTAATCGGCGTCGGGGTGGGTGGTGATAAAGCGGCTGGAACGCTCCGCGTCGACGTGGGGCGCGCGCACCTCGACGCCAGCCTGTTCTTCCTGCAGGCGGACGGTTGAACTGCTGTCGGCGTTGCCCCAACCACGGTTCATAGCCGTTAGGGAGATCTGCTGCGCCAGCGTGGACATGGGCATGGGGACATCGTACTCGCGGGCCAGTTCGGTCGCGAGGGAGATGTCCTTGTGGGCCAGATGCAGGGCAAAGCTGGCTGGCTCGAACTCCCCGCGGAACATGGTGCGTACCAGTCCCTCGTGGAGGAAAGACATTCTGCCCAGGGCGCCACGACGCACACATTCCCAGAGGGGTTCGGGGTCGACGCCAGCCTTGACGCCCAGGGTCAGGCCCTCGGCGATAGCCTGGCGGACGCTGTGTCCGATCATGTTGTGGACCAGCTTGGCCACGCTGCCGGCGCCGATCTCGCCGGCGTAGAACACCTTGTCGCCGAAGGCGTCCAGCACCGGCTTGACCCGATCGAACACCTCGCGGTCGCCGCCGACCATGACGGCCAGGTTGCCCGAGGCGGCCCCGGTCTTGCCGCCGCTGACGGGAGCGTCCAGGACGTAGGCGCCCCTGGCGCGGAACTGGGGTTCGATCTCGCGGATCAGGGTGGGCCGGCTGGAGGAGAGGTCGATGTAGACGCTGCCGGGGCGGATGCCCTGCAGGACGCCGTCGCTGCCCAGGGAAACGGCCTCCACCTCGTAGGGACCTGGCAGGGAGGTGAAGGTGATGTCGCTGGCGGCGGCAACTTCGGCGGGGGAGTTGGCGAGACGGGCGCCGCCGTCCAGCAGGGGCAGGGCGGCTTCTTCGCGCAGGTCGTAGACAATCATGGGGTAGCCGGCGCGCTGAATGTTGGCGGACATGCCGCCGCCCATGTTGCCCAGTCCGATGAAACCAACAGTTTCCATGATGTTCAGATGCTCCCTTTCAGATCGTGTATCGTGTGTCGTCGGAGTATACAACAAGGGCCCTTTCGGCCATCCCCATTTGCTGGGCGCCCAGGATGGCATCATCACAACGCGATCCCGGCGTTGCAGCGCGACGTTTCGACAGGAGTACGAACCTGCCAACCTCAGGCGGGAATTGAGGTGGAGTCGTGTTCGATTTTCGTTGCAAATACTATTGCCGGGCCCGTAGCCGGGTGTTACACTTTTTCGAACACTTTTGCATTTGTACCCGGAAACCTATGCTGACCCTCGTTGAGCGTGCAATGCACGGCCTTTTTGTAATCGATGATGCCTACGGCCGCCGAAACGTTCTGGATATAGTGCGGCGGTTGGCAAAGGTCTCTGAAGTAGAAGCGTATGTAGTGGGTGGGCCGGTGCGAGATCAGTTGCTTGGTATCCCGTACAAAGACCTTGATATCACCGTGGCCGGCGGCGCCCTGCCCCTGGCCGAACAGCTGGCAACCGCCGTGGGAGGTCGGCTGACCGTGCATCAACGGTTTGGCACGGCTACGGTTTCGACGCCAGATTTCGCGATCGATCTGGTAACGGCGCGCAGCGAATCGTATTACCAACCCGGTGCGTTGCCCCAGGTGAGGGTCGGCACGGTTGCCGACGACCTGGCCCGGCGCGACTTTACAATCAACGCGATGGCCGCATCCATCACTGATGAGTCAATGGCGTTGGTCGATCCCCACGGGGGCCGCGCCGATCTGGAAGCTGGCCTTGTCCGCACTTTGCATCCGTTGAGTTTCGTCGACGACCCAACGCGTATATTCCGGGCCATACGGTACGAGCAGCGTTTCTCGTTCCGGATCGAAGACCAAACGCTGAACGAGTTACGGCACGCAGTTGAGCATGGCGCATTGGCCACGCTGACGGGCGACCGGATACGTCACGAGCTGGAACGTATATTCAACGAAGCATCGCCGTTGCCGGCGTTGTGCCGGGCCGGTGAGCTGGGGGTGCTATCCGCCGTACATCCGTCATTGGGGCAGGCGCACCTGTTGGGGCTGGGAGACTGGTCGGCGACGCCGCTGAGCTGGGCATCCGCGCTGGTGTGGACGCTGCCCGCGGAGCAGGGGGCATCGCTGGCAACGCGACTGAACGCTCCGGCCGATCTGGTTCGCGCCATGAAGGACACCGCGCTGCTGAACGCTCGACAACCTCAGCTGACCGAGGCAGACTTGCTTCCCTCCGGCGTTTGCGCGCTGCTGGACGGTCTGTCGCCCGATGCTCTGACGGCAGCGACACGGTTGGCTGAACCGGTGGTTGGTGAGCGCGTGGAACGCTACCTGTCGGAATGGTGGTCTGTTGCGCCGCTGCTGCGGGGCACTGACCTGCTGGAGCTGGGTGTGCCATCCGGTCCAGCGGTAGGCGAAGCATTGCGGGCGCTGCGGCAGGCGCGCCTGGATGGTCTTACGCACGACCGGCACGATGAAGAGAAACTGGCCCGACAGTGGGCTAACGCAAAAAACTAACGCCAGATAAATTTTTGAGTCAACATTGCACGGTAGGGAGGTAGTGAAGTGGTAACCATATTCCAGGTTTCAGGTCCAGCATACTGTGTGGTTTGCAACGAAGAGCTTGAGGGTCCGCACCGTACGACCTGCCAGATGTGCGGCGGGCAGTTCCATCAACCCTGGTCACCCGACAGCGAGGCTCCGCGGTGCGGACGGGCAGCCAGCCACGATGAAACGCTCGCTGTAATCTTTCTGTGCCAGGATTGTTTTGACAACCGCCGGCCACCTTTCTAGGAGCACCCGCCAACATGAAAGCCGTTTATATCGAAGCCCACGGCGACGTGGACGTACTGCAATATGGAGATCGTCCCGACCCCACGCCCGGATCGGGCGACGTGGTGGTTAGCGTGCAGGCCAGCGCGCTGAATCGCCTGGATATATTCACGCGCCAGGGACAGAGGGGGCTGGAGCGGGAGTTTCCGCCGCCGCTGATTTTGGGTGGCGATACGGCCGGCGAGGTGGTGGCTATCGGGGCCAACGTCAGCATGCTCAAGGTGGGTGACCGTGTAATCGTCAACCCACGCCTGGCCTGCGGAGTATGCCAGTGGTGCGGGTCTGGGCGCGACGACCTTTGCCGCCGCAGCCGCTTCCTGGGGACGGCACGAGACGGTAGCTACGCCGAGCTGGTGTCCGTGCCCGAGGTCAACGCCTACGTTCTGGACGGGTCGGTTGCGTATGAGGATGCTGCCGCCGTTCCGACGACGTACCTGCCCGTGTGGAACATGGCAGTGCGGCGTGCGGCGTTGCAGCCTTGGGAAACTGCTCTGGTGTTTTCGGCTTCCGCCGGCGTGGGCGCGGCGGCGATTCAGGTTTTCAAAAACGTGGTGGGGGCTACGGTTATCGCCACCACGAGCACGCCGGAAAAGGCGGAACAGGCTCGCAACCTGGGCGCCGACCACGTTATCAACTACAACGAGGAAGACATAACGCAGCGGGTTCGCGAAATTACCGGCGGGGAGGGTGTCGACCTGCTGGTGGACCACGTGGGGGCCGACGTTTGGACTCATGGATTCCGCGCGCTGCGACCGGGCGGCCGGTACTGCATCTGCGGAGCGACCAGCGGACTCCGGACCGAATTGCACCTGGGGCTGCTGTTCAGTCGTCAGATCGAAATCTACGGCGGATACATGGGTTCCAGGGAGGACATGCGGCAGATCGTGGCGAGCCTGAACCGGGGAGTAATCAAACCGGCCATCCACCAGGTATTTCCGCTGGCGGAGGCGGCTGATGCCCACCGGGCCATGGAAGCCACCAACTTCTTTGGGAAACTGCTGCTGAAGCCCTGACGCCGCCAGCGCACCACCCCCGGGTAAGCGGACGCAAGCGAGCTGTTTCGCCGCGTCGCTGGACACCCTGGATATTACCGGGGGCGTGTCCCCTGACGGAGGCAATGCCGCTGGATGCGAGGAGAGACGCTGACGGTTACGTTTAGGACAAAACGGCGATGAGGTCTGGATGCAGTGCGCTTTCAGGCTTGCCGATGCCGACGTAATGCAGTCGTCTGGCGTACTGCCTGATGTAGTCGCGACGCAACTTGCGCACCGCGTGCATTCCTGAAGCCATGTGCGCCACGGAGCCGCCGGCGATGATGGCCATTGCTTCCCACAGCACCGGGTCGCCTAATTCCCCAGCCATGTCCTTCTCGATGGAACCCAGGATGCGCCGCAAGGAAGTGGCGAAATTCGCGCCCTGGATGCCGACAGAGTACTTCAGCATCGCCTGACCGTATGCCATGTGCCGGGCTTTGTCCTGCAAACACAGGCTGAATATCTTGCGGTCGGCGGGGTTGTTGGCGTGTTGGGCGCCGAAGCGGTACAGCATCAGGGTCAGTGTACCGCGGGCGATGTAGAGTGAGACAGAGGTTTCGGGCCAGCCGGCGCGGGTTTCCATCATCCGTCGGTTCAACATGCCGGGAGATTCCAGACCCAGCGTGCCGCCGTTGGACAGGGCGCGATGGCGCATTGCCTCGTAGTGGCGGGCCGAATCGAATTCCTGCGTGGCCAGGAACATTTTAGGTTCGATATAGGCGTAGTTCATCCGGTGCAGCCACTGGCCGATGGTGTCGGTTTCGGCGGTGGCATGATGCCCCAGCTCAGTGCACAGCTGGCACCAGGCCAGTTCCAGGTCGTCCGCCTGAGGAACCAGAGTGTCCCAGGGGATGTCCTGCATGGCCACCCACCGGCGTTGAATCGCCTCTTCATACAGAGCTGGAGTATTGTCTGACCACAATTCCTCCTTGCGGTTCACCGAGTAGTTGTCGAGGCGGGGCATACCCGGAATGGCGAACGATCCCCGGGGCATACGGGTCATTTCCCGGCTCTCGTCGGGAATGTCGCCATAGATGCCGATGTTGATCGCCTCTATGGTCAGGCCGCGGGAGCTCAGTGGGGCACGCACCCCCCACTGCCGGGTATCCTTCATCCACGGATAACGGTCGCTGGGGGATTGGGGAGCCTCGGGTTCGGCCTCGACGTCGGCCACCGCATCAGTATCTTCGGCGGGAGGCGGGTCGTCCTGGCCGGCAACGGTCTGCTGGACCCGTTCAGCCGCGGACGAATGATAACGCCCCGTGGGGTCGCTTTCGTCAATGGGGGTGGCGGCAGGGTCTACTTCGTTGCCGTCATGGGTTTCGTTCTGACTGGCCATAATGTTTCTCTACCGGTGGGTAGGGGTGTCGTAATTAACAGGACGGCCCGCCTACTCGATGTCAGACGGGCCATCGCAATTTTGCGCAGGTTCAGTACCGGTTAGGGAACCGCCTGGTAAGCCTCGAGCAGGGCGGGATTGACTCGGCCGTTTTCGATACGGTCGTTGAAGCCACAGGACTTGAGGCGCTGGAAGTATTCCTTGACCTGGCGCTGCCGGATGGCGGCCAGAATCTTTTGCCCTTCGTCGGCCTTGTGGGCGCCGCCGCCCAGCAGAATGGCCAGGGAATCAGCCGTGAGGTTGGCGCCGCGGGCCGCGGGGTTCTCGCCGCCGTTGCCAGTGGCCTGCCGGTCTTCGGCCTCATCCAGGTACGCGTGCATTTCGTCGCGGCGCTCGGGGACGCATTCGTTCATGTAACGGGCGTGCAGCACGCCGAACGCCACGTGACGAGCCTCGTCCTGCGCTGCGCGACGGTAGATGGCCTTTTCAGCGTCGTTGTACGCCATCAGCTCGCCAAGCCGGAAAAGCGTGAGCACGTTGCCCTCGCCGACAATGTGCAGCCGGCTGGACATTTCGGTAAACTCGCGGGCGTTGTCGGTACTGCCACCGGTAACATCACTAACCGAATCGATCATCCGCATCAGGCCGCCACCGTTGGCCAGCGCCCGCTTGCGGAACACCTCCATGTGGCGGGATTCGTCCATCACCTGGGTCAGCAGGAACATGCGGACTTCGTGGTAGTCGGGGGACATCTGGGCGATGAAGCGTCCCGGGACATCGGCGGCCACGAATTCAACCTGGGCGAAGAAGGTTGCCAATTGGCATTGGGCTGCTTCAACATCGTCGGGCAGCGGGCGCAGGGATTCCCAGGGAATGTCGGTAGCCGATGACCACTGTCGGGAAACGGCCTCCTGGTAGAGCTTGGTAAGGTTGTAACCCCAAACTTCACTCTTGTCGCGGAAGGTGTAGGCAGCGTACTGTGGCGAGCCCTCTCGAGGCAGCGCGCCCCGGACGCGTTGGGTCTGATTGGGCGATTCGTCGATCAGGCCCGGCGTGTTCTCCGCGAGGGTGGGATCGTTGGCCAGTTCGTCAACAGCTCCTGGAATCTGATCCTTCAGCTGCTGCAACCAGTTCAGGTTGAAACCCTGGCGAACGGCCTGTTCCATCTCGGCGGTAGAACGGTCTTGCAAAGTAGCCATCGGTTGCTCCTTGGGGGAGTATGGGTGACACCGCTATCGGGTCAAATTGACCGCGGATGTTCGTAGCTTCCGCGGGCCACGGTCAAACTATGGTGGCAATGTACCTTGGATGGAACAAGACCGTCAAGCGAATGGCGGTTTTCGATGGGCCGAATCGGCATGAAACCCCCACATATCGGGCGACCCGGGGTGGTTTACACAGCCGGGAGACGTACGGGCGGTAGATCTCAGGTGTTGCCACGGTTGGGGATGGTAATGCGGGGTTCGGTTCCGCCGATAATCCGCCTGAGGTTGTCCCGATGCTGCCAGATGATGATCGAACCGCCGGCGAAGGCATAGATGGTGTACAGCTGGTGGTGTTCCCACCAGAGTGTGAGCGCTAGACTCAACACCGCGATGAAAGCGGTGCCGACGATGCTGCCCAAAGACAGGTACCGCGTTGTGGAGACGATGAATATGAACAGCGCGGCGCCGATGAGGGCCACCCACGGGTCCATCACAACCAGGCCACCCAAACCGGGCAGGATGCCCCTGCCGCCGCGGAATCTTAGAAATACCGGCCAATTGTGACCACACAGCGCCACCAACCCGGCCATCACCTCAGGGGCGCCGTCGCCGATTACATACCGGGCCAGAAACACTGACAGAATCCCCTTGCTGCAATCGAGGACGAACACGGTTGCAGCCGCCTTGACTCCGGCGTTGCGCAGGATGTTGGACATTCCAGTGCGCCCGCTGCCAAAATCTCGAATGTCCTGGCCGCGCATCAGGCGAATCAGGATGTATCCCCAGGATACCGACCCGGTGAGGTAAGCAACCGCGCATACGCCGATGTACTGGGCCACCAACGGTGTTTGGTCGGAAAATCGCAGCAGGACCAACGCTGCCACAATCAGGAACGGGACGACAATCAAACTGGCCCGGGTCGCCTGGCTCGATCCGCGCAGGATCATCATGGGAGTGTTGACTAACGCGAACGACCACGCACGCCGGGGCGGGTGGTGCGTTCTTCCCGTTCGTGGCGGAACACGAGGCGAAGGTGAGTGCGGTTGAAGCCGAACTTGTCCCTGATCCGATTTTCCAGGTAGCGCCGGTACGAGAAATGCAGCAGCTTGGGGTCGTTCACCGAGAACACAAAGGTCGGCGGATTGACGCCAACCTGGCGAACCCGTCGGATACGCAACCGATTGCGAATGTTACCGCGCATGGATGGCGGCGAATGAGTGGAGACGGCATCGGCCAGCAGGTATTGCAGGTCGCGGAAAGGCACTCGTCGCTGGCGTTCCTGCCACAACGAAAGGGCGGAATCGAGCAGCTCGTCGATCCCTTCACCCGTCAGCGCGGACGTGAAACAAACCGGGACGTAGGGCATGAAGTGCAGGCGCTCGCGAACGCGATGCAGCCCTCTTTCCATGCGGAACCGGTTGGGATTAACCAGATCCCACTTGTTTACCACCACGATGAGACCGCGGTTGGTGTCCCAGGCCAGGCCGGCAATATGGGCATCCTGGGCGGTGGCCAACTCGGTGGCATCGGTGATCAGCAGGGTGATGTCGCTGCGATGTACCGCGTTTACCGCGCGCAGCACGCTGTATTTTTCGATGCCGCGCTGCACCTGCCCGGGACGACGAATGCCGGCGGTGTCGACCAGGGTGATGGTATGGTCACGGTATGAAATCTGGGTGTCGAGAGCATCGCGGGTGGTGCCGGCCACCGGGCTGACGATGCTGCGTTCCTGGCCGATGATGGCGTTGGTGAGCATGGATTTGCCCACGTTGGTACGCCCCACTATCGACAGGCGCATCTCTGTGGAAGGAACAAATATGGGTTCGGGCCCGTTTTCGCCGCTGGCTTCGTCGCTGGCTTTATCCCACTCCGAACCGTCTACGCCGTCAGGGTAATTGTCATCCCACTGTTCGGCCAACTCCTGCCTGGGCAGTAGTTCGACGACGCGTTCCAGCAGGTCGTAAACCCCATAATTGTGATAGGCGGATATGAACGAGGTTTCGTTAATACCCAGTTCGTAAAACTCGGTGGCCGCCAACTCCCGGCGATCGTTGTCCACCTTGTTCACCGCCAGTATCACCGGCTTGTCGGTGCGGCGCAGCCGTTGCGCCACTGCCTGATCGGTGGCAGTCAAACCCTGGATGGCGTCGGTGATAAATATGATGACATCGGCGGCGCCCATGGCCATGTCCGCCTGCTGCTGGACGCGCTGCGGAATGTGCCCCTCCGGGTTGTCCTCCAGGCCGCCAGTGTCCACCAGCAGGAAAGAGCGGCCCTTCCACGACGCCCCGGCGATGAGGCGATCGCGGGTGGTGCCGGCAACCTCGGAGACAATGGCGTGCCGTCGGGAAAGAATCCGGTTGAACAGCGACGATTTGCCCACGTTGGGTCGGCCGATAATGGCCACCATGGGCGCGGAATCCACTAAGGTGAGTCGCTCGGCCGTTTCGGCGAAAGGATCCACCGGTGCTTCGATAGATTCGTCTTCGGCTTCATCGACCAGTGCGTTAACCAGTTCTTCGACCATTCCGCCATACATTTCGGCCGCGGCTTGGTCAACCAGGTCGTCGTCCGCGTCGCCATAGATGTCGTCGTCGGTTTCATCAACCGGGTCGCCAAGGGCGTCGTCGTCGGTTTCATCAACCGGGTCGCCGAGCGTTGCGTCGGCAACCGCATCGTGGATAGATTGGTCGTTGGGATCTGCCGTTGGGTCGGTGGTGGTCATATCATTCCCGGGTGTTGGGGGGGTCCACTGTGGCGGGGTTCGATTGCGAACCCGCCGCGAGGTTCAGGAGAGCAAGAACTCCAGCACCGCTTTCTGAGCGTGCAGGCGGTTATGCGCTTGTTGATAGGCAACGGATTGAGGATGCTCCAGCATACCGACGGGCACCTCCTCTCCGTAGTGGGCGGGCATATCGTGCATGAAGCACGCTCCAGGTGCGGCCTGGGCCATCAGGGCATCATCGACCGTATATCCCTGGAATGCCCGCAATCGTTCCTGTGCTTCGGCCTCGTCGCCCATGCTGGCCCAAACGTCGGTGTAGACAACATTGGCGTCGACCACAGCGTCGCACGGACGCACAAGGGGGTGGACGGTAGGCCGGGTTCCGCCGTCGTTGCGAGACGCACGGTCGCTGGCGGTAGCCAATACCGACTCCTCGAGCTGATAACCGTGAGGTGAGGCAATGGAGAAATTCATGCCGACGGCAGTGGCGCCCAAACACAGGCTGCGAGCAACGTTGTTGCCGTCGCCAATGTAGGCAAGGTTAAGACCATCGGTGCATCCGTGGGTTTCAGCGATGGTGAGCAGGTCGGCCATGGTCTGGCAGGGATGCTCCACATCGGAGAGGGCGTTAATTACCGGCACGTCGCCATACTTGGCGAGGCCAACCAGCGAATCATGCGAATTGACGCGGGCGATGATGCAATCCACGTAGCCGCTGAGCACTCTGGCGACATCGGACACGGGTTCGCGGCGGCCCAAACCCACTTCATCCTGGCCCAGGTACATGCTGAAACCGCCCAACTCCCAGATACCCATCTGGAAGCTCACGCGGGTGCGCAGCGAGGGCTTTTCGAAGAGCAGGGCAATGCGCTTGCCGGCCAGCGGCTGAACGCTGCCGGGCGGCGCGGCTTTCATCTCGATGGCACGTTCAATCAGCCGGCGCGTTTCTTCGGCGGTGATGTCTGTGATGGAGAGAAAATGACGGGTTTCGGGCATGAGGGCTACTGCTGTTTAAAGGATCGGCGCGGGTATCCGCGGAATGGTTGGCAAGCGGTTCACAATCAGGGCAATAGCATTATAAATCGCACCTGCGTCGTTCCGGCGCATTTTGCTGGAATACTGAAAGCACGATTGAGTCGGATTTCGGGCGGTCTCCAATCCTTTCGGACACTGGATTCCCGCCTTCGCGGGAAAGACAAGGACATCGGATTTCCGCTTGCGCGGGAATGACAAGGGTAAATGCGTGGGAAAGACGAGGGCAATAGAATAGAAATGCGATTGCCTTGGGTTCACAAAGGGGTCGATGGCAACGACGAATTGCCCCTGTTATGATAGCACAACCAATTTTTGATCCTGCCTGCGGGCCGGCGGAGACTTTTGCAACAATGACCGAACAATCCCACGCTAACGATTCCGCTTTGTCGCCCGGCCTGACGGGTCGCCGCGAGGTTCTGGTGTGTGAGCACAACGTGGCTCCACACGTAGCCAAACTGAGCACACCATCCATGATCCGCGCCATGGAACAGGCTTCCCAGCGCGCAATCCTTGACCATCTTCCGGAGGCGCAGTCCACCGTGGGTTTCGAGGTCAACATACGGCACGTGGCCGGCGCGGACATCGGGACGACCGTTACCGCCGTTGCCGAGTTGGAGCGGGTGGACGGGCGCTGGCTGTATTTCAAGGTGGAAGCATTTGAAGGCGACCGCACCATCGGCGTGGGTACGCATCGCCGGGCCATCATCACACTGCCGCCGGAATCGACGAACCGCGGCGGCGGCAACGACAGTCACACCCACGAACTCTAACCAGGAAGATTTTCCATAACATTACGGTGGCGGCATCAATGGCCGAGCCACCGCACAAGATTTCGCCTGAAAAAGAACCGGCTTCACGAATGAAGCCGGTTCTTGCGTTTGAGCGCTGATTACAATCAGAACATTTCGCCTGGATTACAGGTTGAACTGTGGGTCCAGGTAGGAATCGTCCTTCTGGTAAAATCTGCAACCGGGAGCGCAGGGTGTCGCATACGAGCAACCGGTTGTTGGCGCGGTCGAAGGTGCAAGCCATGGGCATGCGGAAGGTCCGCTGTTGCTGCTCCAGGTCGGGGACCCGGCGGCGAGCTTTGACCATGTCGGGGTTCGCATTCAGAGAGAGGTCGCCCCACTCCGATACTTCGGTTGCATCGCCTTCGAGGTAGGCCAGCGGTCGAGCGTCAGCGTCGTAAATTACGATGCGCTCGTTCAGCCAGTCTGCGACGTAAACGTCACCTTCGTTGTCGATGTCGACGTCCAGCGGGTGGTTCAGTTCGCCGGAGCGGCTGCCACGGCTGCCGAAGGTTCGCAGGTGGGTTCCACCGGGGGTGAACTTCTGTATCCGATGGTTGCCCCAGTCAGCGACGTAGATGTCGCCGCTGTTGTCGATGCCGATACCAGAGGGCATCTCCAGGTCGGTGGCGCCATTGCCCTTGGTTCCGAAACCGGCGAGGAAGTCGCCGTCCTTGCTGAATTTCTGGATACGGCTGGTCTTGGCCGAAACCACCCAGAGGTTCTGGTCGGCATCAAAAGCCAAACCGGCTGCGCCGTTGAGCTGGCCTTCGCCGTCACCGCTTTCGCCCCACTGTTTCTGAACGTTGCCTTCGGAGTCGAAGACGGCGATCTGGTTCTTCCATTCGTCGGAAGCGTAGACATTGCCGGTGGCATCGGCGGCAATTCCGGTAATCCACTCGAACAGACCCCTGGAGTTGGACTGGTAAGCGGCGCCTTCCCGGCCGAATTCGCCGAGGAACTCTTCGCCGCCCTTGCCATCGGTGTTGCCGATGGTGAGTTTGGTAATACGAGCGCTGGGGTTCTGCTCTCCGCCGCGGTTGGCGACGAACATCGTGCCGTCGGGAAGCGCCGCGACGCCCACCGGCTGGCTAAATCCCATGCCCACCTGGCTCTGGCGGCCTACATTCTTGACGTACAGCCATGCCCGACCGCTTGCTACGGTATTCTGAGGCATTGTTAATCCTCCAATTGCAATTCGTTGGTCGGGGAGGCGGCGCAACCATCAGGGCGCGCCGCCTCCAAATTTGTTGAGCCTGAAGCCTTACTTGCTGATGAAGTCCAGCTTCGGGAACGTGCCATTGACGATGGGGGTTGGCATCCATGCCAAGCCAGTCCTCGACGATGCTGGAGTAAGCGCCGCGGAAGTCGTAGTTGGGAACCAGGTCGCCCTGTTCCAAATCTTCGTTCCTGCGGGACGGGTACTCACCGTAGAGGCCACCCCTGACCGGATCGCCGATGACGAAGGCAGCGCCGGCTGCGCCGTGGTCGGTGCCGGAGCCGTTGTCACGGACGCGCCGGCCGAACTCGGAGAACAGGTACATGACGATGTTCTCGCCGGTGTTGTGCTCCTTCATGTCCTGGAAGAAGGCGCTGACGCCCTCAGATACTTCCTTCCACAGCTGCGGGTGGGCGGCGGCCTCACCGGCGTGGGTGTCGAAGCTGGCGTGCTGGGTGTAGAAAATCTTGGTGCCCAGGTCGGCCATGTAAACCTGCGCGATGTCGCGGAGGTGGTGGGCGATGGGGCTGTTGGGATATTCCACGTTGCTGGAATACTGTTGCGGGGCCACCTTTACGATGTCGGCGCCAATCATGGCGTCGGTACCGGTGGAACGCAGGTAGTCGTTGACGAAGCTGCCGCCGATGGTGGGCGCATACATCTTCGAGAACAGGTCCAGAGCCTTGAAACGCTGGTCAACGTTCTCAATACCGGTCAGCAGGCCGTAGGTGCTGAGATCGGCGATAGAGGCAACCGGAACGCCGGGAACTGCCAGCGCGCGGGGAAGGCCGTGGCCGAAGTTGATGGCAGTCAGAACGTTTTCTTTACCCGGGTCCATCTCGCGAGCGACGCGGGCCGGCCCAGCCTTCCGTACCAACCTTGTCGGGCTCACAGGTGTGCCAGATGTCCATGCTGCGGAAGTGGGAGCGGGGGCTGTCGGCGTAACCGATACCGTGAATGATGGCGACTTTGCCCGCTTCGTAGAGTTCCTTTACGGGACCCATGGTGGGAGCCAGGCCGAGTTCATCATTGATGGGAAGGATGTCTTCCCGATTGTAATGAATGGTCGGCCGATTGTCGTAGTACGCCGAGTCGTTGTAGGGGATCACCGTGTTGAAATAGTCGTTGCCGCCGGTGAGCTGCAGGATCACGATGACCGGATCTTTCTTCGTGGAGGTCATTGCGTATGCTCCTTAAATGTGGTGCCTTCAAATAGTGGGATTTGGTGAACGGAGTGGCTCAGGCCGGTTGAACCGGATTATGCGAGGCACTCCGTTCGATGTGCGATGGGATTAGCCGAACTGGTACTCGGGTGGTGGCGCTGATGAGAGCCATGGTCTCGCCGACACGGGTGGCCGCGGCGGTATAGTTGGCCCAGTCCACGTTGCCGCCGGAGCGGACGTATTCGGCCAGCTGGCCTCGGGTCTCTTCGCTGAGTTCGACGAAGCCCATGTAGTCGGTGCAGGCATTGAGCAGATGGTCGGGCGTTTCCACGCCTTCGTTGCGCATCCGGTCAATGATGTCACGCATACCGGGCAGCTCGGGGTCAGACACGCGGTCGGCCACGAAGTTGATGCGAGCCAGCAGGGCGCCGGAGTTGATCCACTCCAGACCGGTGTGCCAGCCTTCCACGGACGGCGGGTCGAGGATGGACTGACCCATGTAGGTGGGGCTCTTTGCCGATGTTGAGGATGCCGGGATCCGGATTCTGGAACAGTCCGACCATCCGCAGGGTGCCGGCGACGACTTCGGCAGGGCTCTTGATCTTCTGGAACCGGGCGTCCTTGAACCACTGGGACAGGAACATGTGGCGCAAAACGGCCTTAATATCGAAATCGGAGTCCTCGAATATCTGACACATCTCGTCGAGAGCGTCTTCGTCGCGGGCCGGCTCGATGGTCCAGGCGGGAACCTGGGGCTCGTCGGCGACGAAGAAGTTGTAGAGGTGGCGGCAGATGAAGCGGGAGGTGGCCGGCTGCTTCAGGATGATTTCGATGATGTCCTCACCGTTAAATTCGCCGGTTTCTCCCAGGAACGTCTTTTCGCCGTAGTCGTGGTCTTCATCACGGTACGCGAACTTCCAGGGATAGCGCCCATAGGGAGCCCGGGGCAGCTTGGCCTGGATGGTCCAACCGGTAAAGGCCCGAGAGCACTCGCGCACGTCCACTTCGGTGTAGTTGGAAACGCCCAGGGAGAAGAGCTCGAGCAACTCACGGCCCCAGTTCTCGTTCACGGCGTCCCGATGGTTTTCGTTGTTGTCCAGCCAGAAAATCATGGCCGGGTTCTTGGACAGCTCGACGAGCATGTCGCGGTAGTTGCCCATGCCAAATTCACGCAGCATGTCAATTTGCTCCAGCAACTGGTCGCAGTTGTCGACCTTGGAGTTGCCGGTGGCAAAAACATGGTGCCAGAACAGGGACATCTTCTCTTCCATGGGCCGGTCGCTGGATATCATGTTGTACATCCAGTTAGCCTGGCCGGAGAAGGGAACGCCGCCCGGGAGCAAGAAGCTGGGGTGATACCGCAGCAACAGCGCCATCTTGCCGCCTTCGCGGTCTTCCGTCGGGTCCAGCAATTCATTAACGGTGGCTTCGTAACCTTGCTCAACCAATCGCTCCAACTCTGCACGGTTGGCGCCAAAACCAGCGCGCCGCATCAAGTGTGCCATCAGTGCCAGGTCATCTTTGTGTGACATCCTGTGCCTCCTTCCTGCAATTTGTTGCCGTTAGTGCCGAGCCCGGCAATTGCCGGCCCGGAGATTCGAACTTTTGCCCGCCATTTTAATTTACTTGCAACTCCGTGTCAACAAGAAATCACTTATACGGATCAAATTTGATAACCATTATAAACTAGTAACCGAATGCTAACAAGGGGCAATTTGCTACTTGGGGATCGCCCATTCCGGCGGCGGCGCGTGGGTAACTGATTGGTCGGTATCGGCGGGGATTTGGGCTACCAGTCGTCCGTTGTCCACCGCAACCACGTGATAAAACAGTTGCGCTCGCGGCCCATTTATGCATATGCCCTGGGATTCTTCGAAGCGCCAGCCGTGGTCGGGACACAAAAAGCTCTTGTCCCATTTCACCACCCGCCCGTAAGCATGGGGACAGATCATCGACATCAACCGGTACTGCCCATCCCGTGCCTTGGCCAGCCAGTGTTCCTCCCCGTTGTCGAGACGAACCCGTGCCGGCAGCTCGGGGAAGTCGGCTACCGCGCCCAAGTCAACCTTGCGAGCCGGCGCTTTTTTGTTCTTGCCGACGCCGTTGGGATCGGTTACCGTTCGCCGCCGCGGGTGATAAATGTCTTCGCTCATTGCGCCCCTCCCTTTATCTTGTCAACAATTGATCGTGGATGGAAATGACCCTGCGCTCAATCGGTGGGCAATCCTCCAAACGCTTCATCAAATGTAATAATCGGAAATATGGCGGTGCGGTTCCAGGTCGCCAGGCCCATGTCCACCACCGCATCGTCTATAGCGTGGGCGTCCGGACCCTGCAGAATCATCCAGGTTTGATGAGAGGATTTGCCAACCCAGCCACCCTTGAATTCACAGCCGCGACCCGAGAGGGTCTGGTTCATCTCGGCAGACATCCGCACCACCCGGTCGCGCACGCCCATATCCACGCCGGGGCAGCGTTCCGGGGCGTGTTCCAGCGAAACCATGTACAGACCCATAACAGATTGCCTCCCGAGCGTTGCACTACCGTACTGACAGGCTGGCGCGGTGGGGCGCGGCCTGCCGGAAGATACCGGGGACAGTCAGACCGGAAAAACGCTCCGGTCGCATCGCTTCCGCCAATCCTTCCATAACATCTATGACCCTGGGCCCGTGGCGGCTGGGAATCTGTCCGTCGAACAGATACACCCGGTCTTCCTGCACCGCGGTCAGCGCAGCCCATTCCGGTCGGTCAATCAGGCGAGCCGTCTCGGCGATGGTGCGGTCCATGTTGAACGCGCAGGGCATAACCATGACGTAGTCGGGTTGATATTCGTGAACCTCAGACCAGCTGACTTCTCGGGACTTGCCCCACTTTTCGGCCAACCCTTCTTCCCCACCGGCTAATTCCACCATTTCGGGGGTCCACTGGCCGGTATTTCGCAGCGGCTCGAGCCAGTCGATGCAGAACACGCTGGGGCAGCAATCGTCGGCGGCACGACTGGCCACATGATCAACGCGGCGTTGCAGGTTGGCAAGAAGCTCGGCGGCTCGGGTCGGGACGCTGGCGGCCTCGCCGATACGCCGGATGTTGTCGAAAATATCATTCAGGCCGGCCGGCCTGATGCTGAGGATCTGCGGGTCGTAGTCCAGCACGTGGGCGGCCGTTTCGAATACCGAACCGGCGCCGACTGCACAAACCTCACACAACTCCTGCGTGAGAATCAGGTCGGGCTTCAACCGGCGAAGCAGGTCGCCATCGATGATATACAGCGGGTTGCCACTCGCCCGGGCCTGCTGGATGATGGCGTCGATTTCCTGGCTGGACAGGTGACCCTTGCTGCGGATGCTGCGGCTAACGATGGGGAGCGTCCGGGCGTTGACCGGGTAGTCGCACATGTGGGAAACGCCTACCAACGAATCGCCTAGTCCCAGGGCGAAAACGATCTCGGTAGCGCTGGGCAGTAACGAAACAATCCGCATGGTCGGCATTTGTAGGGGCAAAACCGGCGGTTGGCAAACAGAAAGACGGCAGGTTGTGGGCCACTTTAATGGGCGGCAAACGAACGGAACGGAACGGAATGATATGATAATGATGTTAATACACGCGAGTGAGCAAATCAGCCCATGACAACCAAGCCGAAACCTGCCACCGAGTCCGTCGTCGTCGCCGGGACTGACGAGGAACGCACCGGAGCAGTGCGTTTACGCCTCGAGGCATTGGATATAAACCACCGGGCAGTTGATTTTCCCGCCCGGTTCGCCGCTTTTTGTGAGCAGAACGACCAATACGAAATGGAAATCAACTCCGACGGAGAATTAATCATCCTGCCCATGACTGGATTCCGCGGTAACCGATGTGAAGGTTACCTAAATCATTTTGTGATGGGATGGGAAATCGAACACGGCGGTATATCGTCGTCACAATCCAGTCGTTTCCGTCTACCGTCCGGCGAGATCCGGGGACCCGACGCCGCCTGGATTACCCAGGAACGCTACGATGCCCTACCCGAACAACAGCGGCTAACCATAATTGAAGGCGCGCCCGATTTCGTGGTGGAAATCCGTTCCCCGCACCGATGACCTGGCCCCGTTGCAACGCAAGATGGTTTTGTGGGTGGCCGGCGGCGTTCGGTTGGGCTGGCTGATCGACCCGGAGAATCGCTGTGCCTACGTTTACCGGCAGGGTCAACCTGAACCGGAAACGCTGCAAGACCCGGAAACGTTGGACGGCGGTGATGTGCTGGTCGGATTCTCTTTTCCAGTGCGTCAATACGTTTTCGACCTGCAATAGTTCCGAGTCTGTCCATGGCCGCCCGTATATTAAATGGCAACGAAATTGCTGCCGACCTGCGTGCTGAAGTGGCCGAAGGCGTGACGAGTCTGGTGGCGTCCGGCGGGCCGCAACCCGGCCTGGCGGCGGTGCTGGTTGGAGATGACGCGGCGTCGGCAGTGTACGTTCGCAACAAGGGACGCGCCTGCTCCGAGGCTGGAATGCACTCGGAGACCTTTCACCTGCCCGCCGATACGGGGCAAGCCGATCTGATGGACCTGATTGCCGGCCTCAACGCGGACAACAGATTCCACGGCATCCTGGTACAGCTGCCATTGCCCGACCAGATTGACGAAGCGACGATCATCGAGAGCATAGCACCGGCCAAGGACGTGGACGGTTTGCACCCCATCAGCCAGGGCCGGATGCTGCAGGGTCAACCGACGTTCCTGCCCTGTACCCCGGCCGGAGTGCAGCAGGTGCTGTTGCGGTCGGGATACGATCCGGCTGGCAAGCACGTGGTGATTGTGGGCCGCAGCAATATTGTGGGGAAGCCCCTCGCGGCACTGCTGATGCAGCGCAACCCGGGAGGCAACGCGACGGTAACCGTGTGCCACACGCGGACGCGAGACCTGCCCGACATCACCCGCCAGGCCGACATTCTGGTTGCGGCCATGGGCGTCCCGGGGGCGGTTACGGCGGACATGGTGCGGGAAGGGGCGGTTGTCATCGATGTTGGCATCAACCGGGTGGACGATGCTTCCCGCCGCCGGGGATACCGGCTGGTGGGCGACGTTGACTACGATGCCGTGGCGGCCAAGGCGGAAGCCATCACACCGGTGCCCGGCGGCATTGGCCCCATGACCATCGCCCTGCTGCTGAGCAACACGCTGGACGCCGCCCGCCGTACCGTCTCAGTCTGATCGCTGACGGCTCACGCGGGTCGGGCGTCAGGTCGACATGATGCGCACCAGTGATTTCGATTACCACCTGCCGCAGGAACGAATCGCTCAAACTCCCGCCGAGCCTCGAGACGCCTCTCGTCTATTGGTATTGCACCGGGACACCGGGTCCCGTGGCGGCGAGCCCGGAATCGAACACCGCAAATTCCGCCAGCTGACTGATTACCTGCGTCCCGGCGACCTGATGGTGTTCAACCGTAGTCGCGTCATTCCCGCTCGGCTGCATGGCGTGGAAACTCGGTCCGGCGCACGGGTGGAGGTTTTGCTGGTGCGCCGCACCGAACCCAACGTCTGGCAGGCCCTGGGGCGTCCGGGCCGCCGTCTTCGCGTCGGCGCAGAGGTGATGGTAGGGTCTGACACGATTGGGGTACGCATCGAGATTATCGCGACCCACCAAAACGGGTTGCGCACCGTCCGCCTTTCTGACGAGGCGCTGATCGAACGATTCGGGGAGCTGCCCCTGCCGCCTTATATTAAGGAAACTCCGGACGACCCCAACCGCTACCAAACGGTGTACGCCGATGCGCCGGGCAGCGTGGCAGCGCCGACCGCCGGCCTGCATTTCACCGATCGGCTGCTCGATGACATCCGGGCCCTGGGTGTAAAACACCGCGTGGGTCACGCTGCACGTCGGGCTCGATACATTTCGTCCGGTGAACGAAGAAGACATCGGAGAGCATAAAATCCACACCGAATGGTACGACATGCCGGCTGATACGGCGGCGGCCATCAATGCTGCCCGTGGCGACGGACGTCGCATCATCGCCGTGGGCACCACCACCGTGCGCACGCTGGAGCAGGTGGGGCGGAACGCTTACCTCCACCAGCGGGAAATCATCGAGCCGACCACCGGCGACGCCGACCTGTTTATATTGCCGGGACACCGGTTTCGCCTGGTGGACGCAATGCTGACCAACTTCCACCTGCCCCGCTCCACGCTGCTGATGCTGGTTTCAGCCTTCGCCGGGAGGGAAACCATATTGTCGGCGTATGAAACCGCGGTTAAGCAGGAATACCGGTTCTACTCGTTCGGCGACGCGATGCTGATCTTGTGACCCGTCGCCTTCCCCCGGCTAGCTGAACCTGGGCTTGGAGTCATCGCGGTTGCTGTCGTAACCCTCGTCGCGCAGGCTGCGGCGACGGGACCCACGACTTGGACTGTCGCCATCGGAGGATCCAGGGTTCTGGGTCTCATCGGCAGTGAACGGCGGATCGGCGGGTTCGGCGGCAGTTGAGTCCACCACATCGGCGGAAGCGCTCGCCTGACCGGAGCCGGCCGCATCATCTTCCTCCAGCGGCGGGCGCGAATTCAGGATGCGCGCGACGAAACTCGTCCAGGGCCGACTGCAGGTATTGCTGGAAAGTTTCCGGGTCGCGCACCTGAATTGCGATACGACGGCGGTTGATGGTGTACACCCGCAGCGGGTCGCCCATGAAACCACGATCGTTGACGACATCCCGAATCTGGCTGAAATGCAACTGACGGCTGCGTGGAGTGCCAAACATGATCACCAGCGCATCGGAGTAAATCCGGTACTGGCGAGGTCCAGTGAGCCACGAATATCCGCCGACCCCAAGACCCACTATGATCAACAGGTAAGAGCCGCCGCCGCTGCGGCGAGGTTGCTCAGGCTGCTCCGCTTCGCCGCCCGGGGTTTGCGCGGGAGCGGGGGTTTCAACCGGAGGCGGGTCTCCGGCTCTTAAATCCATAACCAATTGATACAAGCCGAACAGAATAACCGCTCCGGCCAGGATGAGCGTGAGGTTGAACCTGACGCGACTCGGTGCCCAATACACGAGCTGGGTTTCGGGCTGCTGCATACTACTCTCGCACTTGCCGTTGTACAGTTTCTTTTGATCGGAGCAACGTGTGTTGCTTATCCGGCGGGAATCATGTTATCACACGCCGTCCGGCATCCCCTACTCTTAACGCGTACCCACTTTGTCAAACCAAACCGGCTTGCTATCATTACGAGGAGCGCAGCGACGTGACAATCCCGTTCCCATCCCCGCTCATCCCGAGCTTGTCGAGGAACGTGGCAATCTCAATGAGATTAGGCACACCTTAGCGAACCATCATTGCTACGGCCGCGAGATTGCCAATCCCCGCATCGAGCACGGGGTCGCAATGACAGACCAAAGTGGGTACGCCCGTGCCCGTGTTTGGCTTGACCGTGCCCGGCGTTGGTGCCAGAATTGGGGTCGAATTACGGAATCACTCACCAATTTACAGGAGGCGAGGGCCATGCTGATTTGCAGGTTTCGCACCGGCGACCGAATAGCTCACGGTATTGTTGAGGGCGACAACGTTCTGGAGGTACAGGGCGGTCTGTTTGACGGGTTAAAACAATCCGGCAGCACCTACGCCCTCAGTTCGGTGAAGCTGCTGCCACCGGTGATACCGCCGACTTTCTATGCGGCCGGCATCAACTTTCCAGAACACGTTACCTGGGCAGCCCAAATGCGCGGTGAAGAGCCCAATTTGCCCAAGCAGGCCGACGTTGGGTACCGGGCCGTGAACGCCCTGACCGGTCAGGGCGACCCCATCATGGTTCCCGCCGACGCCACCGAAATGCTGCAATACCAGGGCGAAGTCGTGGTGGTTATCGGCAAGGAATGTCGCAACGTTTCGGAAGCAGAATCGCTGGACTATGTGCTGGGCTACACCATCGGCAACGACGTGAGCGAACGCACCTGGCAGCGCAACGACCGCACGATGTGGCGGGCCAAGAACACCGACACCTTCAAACCGATGGGGCCGTGGATCGCCACCGATCTGGACCCGGACGAACTGCACGTTACCATCCAGGTCAATGAGCGGGTGGTCGGCGACTACGACCTGTACACGGCGATATTCGGCGTGCGGGAATACATCAGCAAGATGAGCCATTACCTGACGCTGGTGCCCGGCGACATCCTGTGGATGGGCACCGACGGCGCCACCGAAAATATGAAGGACGGCGACGTTTGCGACATCACCGTCAACGGCATCGGAACGCTGAGCAATCCGGTGGTGTGGGGCAAGGCCTGATCAGTTTAACGCCGGCATCCCCGGTGCGGCGGATAGCTTTGGGGGATGCCGTGTAACTTCGGCGCTCAACACCGGCGTTGGAACCGTCAGCGCTCCCGGGTATCCTCATGCGCACCCACTTTGTCATTGCGACCCCGTACTCGATGCGGGGGTTGGCGATCTCGTCGCCGTAGCAACGGCGGTTCACCGACCCATGTTTCAATCTCATCGGGATTGCCACGTCGCTATGCTCCTCGCAATGACAGTTAAAGTGGTACGCGTGAGCCCGGGTATCAACTGGACAATTTGCCGGCAATCCCGTACATTCGGGTGCCTATGACGATTTCCGGCGGAGGCGCCACCTGTCCCCAATGCGACGCCCCGTACCAAATGGGGCAAAGATTTTGCGGACACTGCGGACACGCTCTACCGGCTTCTCGACCGCCGCCCACCGGCGCGTCGGCCCCCGGGCCGTTGGAACGGGCACGGCAAAGCGCACCGCGCTTGCGACCCATTCTGGAACGGCTACTTGCTCCGGATCGCACCCGCCCCCGACGAGTGGGACAGCGGCCGCCGCCGGTGGCGCAGGACAACGCAATACCCTACTTCATACCTCTCAACCGCGTTATTCTGCTGACTTTCCTGACCACCGGTTTTTATCTCTTCTACTGGATGTACATTACCTGGCGGCACTATCGCGACTACAGCGAGGAACAGGCATTTCCGGTTTGGCACGCACTGTCAATGCTGGTGCCGATTTACCAGTTGTTCCGGCTCCACGCTCACGTGCGCGTTTACCAGGAACTGATGGCCCAGCGGGGCGTGCCAAGTACCCTGCATCCGATGCGAACCGTGGGTTTGTACGCCGCAACCGTGGTGCTGTTGTGGGTGGACGTTTCGCCTGACTACCGATCTACCGGTATCGCCGCTGGAGCAATTGGGCTATTTCGGGGCCAACATCGCCAGTGTCGCCATAACTGCCTGGATAATATGGCAGGTTCAGAGCAACATTAACCGGTTCTGGCAACACCGGGTGGGGGTGCGACTAACCAGCGCCCCGATTAACCTGATGCAAATTGTGATGAGCGTGCTGGGAGCGCTGAACTGGATCCTATGGATCATCGTGCTGCTGGACCCGACATTGCTGCTCGCCGACCCGGCGGCGGGCGTCGCTCCCTGAGGCACGGCGACCGATTCCGCTGGACAACTCCGACCACCGCTCCGGACCGTTACAACGAACCGAGGGCCACCTGGACGATGCGGCGTTCCAGTGACAACGCCAGATTCGTGGCGAGTTCGGTGCGATCATGTTCGCCCACGGCTCCAACGAAGGCCACTCCCAGGAGACGGCCGACGCGGAAGTCTATAACCGTCGAGGAGAGCAGACCGGCCGGCCCGCCCTGCAAAACCTGCAAGCCCACCGCTTCATCGTACAATCCGCTGGCCTGAACCCGGTTTACTGCAACGATCTGCTGGCCCGAGCCGACGCTCTGGCCCACGTTTTCCTCAAAGTCTTTCAGAAAAATATCGGACATCCAGCCCGACACCTGCTCCGGATTTTCAAACAGGTGGACAACGGTAGCGCCGACGAAATTGAGGCCATCCGCCGGCGTAGCATCGGAAGTGGGCACGAACTCCCGCATGAAGCCGCTGATACGGCCGGCGGTGCGAAATCGCTCGGCTGTGCTGCCCGCAAATCCGTTTTCAGCCAGCTCGTCATTGTCGAGTACCCCGGAGCGGGCCAATTGATAACTGCGCATCTGGTCGGGCAAATCACCCTCCCCGAGCGCCATGTATTCCAGGTCGGCTTCGCCGATGCGGTAGGTGGCTTTCCAGAGGGCCTCGGATTGCACGGTAACTAGTCCTTTGATCGATCGCTGCAGGGAATGTTGGGGCGAAGACGCCCTCGCCCCGATTGATTTTTACCAGTAGTTGGGACGGAACCGGCCGTCGGCAATCAAAATTGCCGCGTCAGGCTAACCCGCCACCATGGGATACACGTGCCGTCCTCTGGTCATTTCGACCGGTACGTCGGTGCGACTCCAGTTGTTACCCGCGTCGCCGCTACAATATACGTGACCGTCCCGGTCGCAGCAGTAGACGTTATCTGGCGAGTTTCGGTCAATTGCGATCTGGAACATGCGGGCCGGGGCGACCTCGCCCAGGTCGAGCCGTTCCCAGGTCTCACCGGCGTCGGTGGATCGAACCAGCACACCGGCGTCCACCGTGCCAGCGGGAGCGCTGCCGCCACCGGCGCCGGCGGCCAGATACATGATGCTGGGATCGTGGGGCGCTACCACCAGGTCACGGCAATAGCTGCCGCCCTCGAACATCTCGTCGATGGGGACAAATTCCCAATCCGTGCCGCGGTGGCGGCTGCGGAACATGGCGAGCTGGGTGATGATGTAGACCAGGCCTGGGCTCGACGCGTTGACCTGAACGCCGTGCAGGTCGACAGGACCCATGCGGGTGTAGTGGCCATCGGTGATGCAGGACCAGGTTTCGCCGCCGTCGCGGGATGCGATCAGTCCGCCGACTTCAATCGCGCCGTAGATGTCATCCGGGTGGGCGGGATCGACGCTCAGCCCGATGACCCGCTTCACGATTTCGGTGGGGTTCATGGTGATGTTGGGATGAACCAGCCCTTTGGTGTTGAGCTGACGCCAGGAGTTGCCGCCGTCATCAGACCGGCAGACTCGTCCCTGATCGTACCCGGCAAACATGATTGACGAGTCGTTGGGGTGGGCGGTCATCGACCAGACTTCGCCGCTCATGGTGTCGGTGCGGCTCCAGGTGTCGCCGCAGTCATCGCTGCGGTACACTCCGTCCTGAGTGCCGGCAAATACCGTGGACGGGTTGTTGGGATGAACCAGCAACGCGCGCACCTGGGGGTCGGCGGGCAAACCGTTTTCGGCGGCTACCCACTTCGAGTCGCCCTCGGTAAGCCGGTACAATCCACCTTCACCCAGCGGCGTACCTTCCACCCCCACTACGAGAGCGCTCTCGCCGGCCAGGCCGACGTAAATATTCGTTTGATGGCCATTAACGGTAGTCATCTGTTAGCCTCCTGCGCTGTGTCAGTATAGACAATGGTTCGAAAAATTTTGTGCTAGTCTCCGTGCAGATTTTTGGCTCCGCGGAGCAACTTGTCAAGGACTGGACGCGACCGAGCGCCAGATGGCGCCCCGGAAACGCTAGGGCCACATGATCCACCCGGTGCGGTCGGTGCGAGCCCGGAACAGGTGACCGCCGCCGGTGGTTACGTACAACGTGCGCATATCGGCGTCGCCGAAGCAGCAGTTGGTGGGTCGATCCACGCGCAGGGGGTGTGTCTCCAGCACCCGGCCCGTGGGCGAGAATACGTAGATGATGGGCCCGGGCCCGGCGGCCTCCCAGCCGGCGCAGACGATGATGTTGCCGTCGATGTCCAGGGTCATGCCGTCCACGCCTCTCTGTACACCGGCAGCGCCCGTGCCTCTCAAATCGCCATCAGCGGCGCCGCCGTCTATACCGAAGGTGTGCAGCACGGTGTAATCGCCCAGTGAGCCGTCGTCGGCTATGGGATACGCTCGCAGTTCCCGGCGTCGGGTGGCTCCGTAATCGCTTTGGGCGATGTACAGGGTGCGCTGGTCGCGACTGATCAGGATGCCGTTGGGGCGGCTGATGTCGGTGGTGGCCCGCACCAGCTCCCATTGGTCGCCGCCCTTGGGATCCAGACGCAGCACGGACATGTGATCCAGTTCCTGCGGTCCGCTGTCTCCGATCCCGGAATAGGGGTCGGTCAGCCAGATGCGCCCCGACTTGTCCACCACCAGGTCGTTGGGGTTGTTGTGCCGCATTCCGTCCAGCAGGTGGGGCATGGAAACCGCGGTGTTGGTGGCAGCGTCGAAACGGGCGATGCGGCGGCGGCCCTGCTGGCAACCGTAAAGATTGCCCTTGGCGTCGAAGCACAATCCGTTGGTGTTGAATGTTTCGTTGAAATACTCGGAAACTTCGCCGGTTTTGGGGTCGTATCGAAGTATTTTAGACGCGGCGATATGCGTAAACAGCACCGCCTGGCCATCCCAGACCGGCCCCTCTGCGGTGCCTCCGTATGGTCCGGCAACCAGCTCGAAATTCCAGGACATTGCGCACCTCCTGACCTGTGCCTGCGATAACCGACCGCGACGGATCGGCGCGCTGTTAGTGAATCAACCCGGTAGGTTCGTTTGCGCCGGCAGTTTAGCACGGTTTACCCGATGCGCCCAAAATTTTGCCCCCGCCGTGGAAGGCGAGGGCAAATATTCCATTGGGGCGGGAGCGAATAACCGCGAAACCGGTTACCGACCTCTTAGCCGGGGGTCAAGCACGTCTCGAAGGGCGTCGCCAAAGAAGTTGATGGCGAAAACGACCACCGTAATGGCGATGCCCGGGAACGCAGCAAGCCACCAGGCAATGCGGATGTCTCTTGCTCCCTGCGTCAACATGGTGCCCCAGGTCGGGATATCTGGCGGAACACCCACTCCCAGGAAGGACAGCGACGCTTCGATGATGATGGCGAATCCCAGCGTAATGGTACCCAGCACGATATATGAAGCGATCACGTTGGGCAGGATATGGCGCAGCATGATGCGTGCGGAGCCGGCGCCGATGGCCGTAGCAGCCAGCGTATAGTCCAGTTCCTTGATGCTCAACACCTGCGACCGTATGACCCGGATCGTGCCCGGTAACAGAATTACCACCAGCGCTACGATGATGTTGTTGGCCGACCCGCCCACTGCTGCGACTAGCGCCAGCGCCAGGATGATGGGGGGGAATGCCATCATGGCGTCGACGATCCGTTGGATCGCCAGGTCGACAACGCCGCCGAGGTAGGCGCTGATGATGCCGATTACCGTACCCAGCGTTACGCCAATGCCCACGCTGAGCAAACCTACGTAGATGGATATCTGGGAGCCGACGATGATCCGGCTAAACTCGTCCCTTCCCAGGTGATCGCTACCGAGCCAGGCGCTGGGAGAGGGTGGCAGGTATTTCTCGTCGTGGGCGCGAACATCCAGCGGGGTGTGGGGCAAGACGCCCGGTACGGCGTACGAAACCACAGCCGCCAGAATCGTCATGATGATGATTACCGCGCTGATTGCTCCCAGAGGTTTGTGGCGACTGAATGCGATGATCTTCTGAACCAGGGTCTGCCTGGGCCGCATGTCCAGTAGTTGGGCATCGGCCGCCGGCGCCGACAGCGTTTGCCCGGTGTTAGTAGTAGTCATTCGGGTGATTCTCCGTGCTGGCCTGGATCCCGGTGGCTAGGCATAACGGATGCGCGGGTCCATCCAACCGTACAGCAGGTCAACCAACAGGTTGATGATGACGATGGACACCGCGATCACGATGATGATGGCCTGGATGGTGGGGAAATCGCGCTGGAACACTGTTTCGATTAGCAGCGTGCCAATGCCGGGTACCCTGAAGATGCTTTCGATGATGACGGTTCCGCCAAAAAGGCGACCGAACTGCCAGCCCGAAATGGTGAGAATGGGCAATACCGCGTTCTTGAGCCCGTGGCGGACCAGAACGATGCGCTCAGCCAATCCCTTGGACCGGGCGGTTCGCATGTAATCCTCGCGAATGATTTCCATCATCGAGGAGCGGGTGACCCTGGCGATGAATGCCATGTCGTAGAAACCCAGCGCCAGCGCCGGCAGGAACATTTGCCGGATGTTGGACCAGGGATCTACCCAAAGTTCCTCGTAGCCCAGCGGTGGCAGCCAGTTGAAACCGCGTGATAAGACCAGGACCACCAGTGTGCCGGCGAAAAACGTGGGAATGGATATACCGATCAGAGCGATAATGCGGCAGAAGTAGTCCACCGGGCTGTCGGGTTTAATGGCTGAAACTATACCCAGAGGAACCGCGAATAGCACGGCGATCAAAATCGCCATTACTGCCAGTTGAAGGGTGCGCGGGATACGATCTCCCAGCAGGTCCCAAACTGGTATGCCCCGCCGCCAGTACGATTCTCCCAAGTCACCCTGCACCAATCCGCTGACCCAGTCCACATACTGGATGACGATCGGCCGGTCGGTGCCCAATTCTACGCGAAGCGCCTGCAACTCTTGCTGAGTAAACGATGCGTCGCCTTCACTGAGAATCACCAGCGCCGGGTCGCCCGGGATGAGCCGCATCACCGTAAACACGATGATGGTCACGAGAATGACCGTGGGGGATGATTAGTCCGATGCGCTTTAGCGCGTACTGTCGCATGTCCTTAGCCTTGCTCTGATTGGGGTTCAGGTGCGCCGTCCAAGCGGCGGATACAGGAACCTGACCACCGACATACGTCCAGTCGAGATACTGACTGGACGTATGCTGGATTAGGCGAATTTAGTCCCGGCCGTTTAGCGGTCCAACCAGATATCCTCGTGCTTGAATCCGTACTGCACGGTCAGGGGAGCGTTGAAACCCTTGATGTCCTCGTGGACCAGCCAGTACAGTTGGCCGAGTTGCATGGTTACCCAGTGGTTATCCGAGAAGTCGTGCATCCACAACTCGGCTTCCTTGTTGATCTCACGACGGGCGTCGGCGTTGAGTTCAACCTTCTGGCGCTCGAACCAGTCGTTGACCAGCGGGTTTTCCCAGTCGGTGTAGTTGCGGGTGCCTCCCTTCAGGTACACGCCACCATAGACGGCGTCGGTGTCGAAGACGACCATCCCCTCGCCCTGGCAACTGATTTCCCAATCGCCGTCGTTGTCGGCGGGACGCGAGGTTCCGTACTTGGAGTAACCGGCGGCGCTGGGCAGGGTTTCGATGTTGCCGGTGATGCCCAGGGAAGTTTCCAGTTGCTGCTTTACAACCGAGCACTGTTCGGGATAGTTGCCAACCTGGCGAACCGTGTACGCGACTTCAAACCCTTCGGGGTAGCCAGCTTCGGTCATCAGGCGCTTGGCCTCAGCCAGGTCTGCTATCCCGCCTTCGCTGGTCTTGGGGCGAATGCCGGGCCAGGCGTTACATTCCTCATTGGTGTGGGCCAATCCCATCAATGGGCAGTAGGAGCCGCCAGAGTTGTACAAATACGAGATTGTCAATTTCCTGCCGGTCAACTGCCAGGTTGATGGCCTGACGCACCATGACGTCCTGGAACTCGGGCTTCTTGATGTTGAGCATCAACCCCCAGTTGGTTCCGGCAGCGATGGGATGGGCGATGTATTCGGGGTGGCCTTCCACCAGATTGAAGTACTGGGTGGGCGACAGGTTGGTGAACCCACCGTTGGCCATGTCCAGGCCATTGGATTCGAACCGGGCAATCAAGGTGCCAGTGTCGGTGATGATGAAGTGTTCGATGCGGTCCACGTACGGACGGCCGTCCTTGAAGTAGTTGGGGTTCTTGTTGACCTTGTAAAAGTCGCCTTCGGAATATTCCTCAAGGATGAACGGGCCGGAAGTAGCGTTATGTTCGATAATCGTGCGCGCGTCGTTCAGGTTGATGTCCTGATTGAGCAGGTGGGCCGGCAGTACCTTCACGTAGTCCACGGCCAGGAATTTGAGGAACGCGCCAGAAGCGAACTGGAGATCAAATTCAACAGTCAGATCATCCGGGGCCCTAAGCACAGCATCCTGATTGGTGGCGGTGCAGTCGGCTTTCTCGGCCAGCTCTACCACTTCCATCTTGACGGTGTAGTTGCGCCAGAGGCCGGAACGCCCGGTGGAGTTACAGGGGTTGGCGTAACGTGCCAGCGTGGTAACAACGTCGGCGGAGGTGATGGGCATGCCGTCAGTCCACTCCATACCCTCGCGCAGGTGGAATGTGTAGGACTTGCCGTCTTCGCTAACGTCCCAGCTTTCGGCCAGGTCGCCGACGACTTCACTGGTTTCTACCGAGTCGAACTGGACCAGCTGGTTGTACATCTGCGAGTAGGAAATCACGCTGGACAACGAGGCGGATCCCAGCGGGTCCCAGTCTCGGGTGTCAGCGTACGCCGACATGAGCAGGGTGCCGCCAGTCTTGGCCTCGGATCCGGGGTCGGGAGCAGCCACCGCGGTAGCTTCGGCGGTGTCCGCGACCGCGGTAGGCTCGGTGGTCGTTCCATCGGTGGTTGTCGACTCGTCGGCTCCACCGCAGGCGATACCGATCATCAGCGCGATAGCTGCCAATACAGGCAACAGCAATCGCAACGACAACCGGCCATTGATGTGAAATTTCATAATAGGTATTTCCCTCCAGGTCTCCATTGTTGGATACGACCACGCGGATACCCACGTACCGCAGATCAGTCCGATTTGGTTGTTAGTGACCATACTTCGGAATTGCAGCAATCTAATTGTGAAATTAACCACAAACAACAAAGCACGGTGCGCAATGTTAAACTACCACTGCAACCCTGTCAATACCCAAAACAGGCACGAAATAACCCCCTCCGGGCGAAAGGGGGCCAATAGGGGCCGAATTTCGTTAACGACCACGTTGCTAAGAGTCAGGAACGTCGTTACGCCACGCCACGCTCGCAATGACAAATTAAGGCTGTGCTCCTTGCAATCACAGATCAAAGCGGGAATGCGTGAGACGTGGGGCGGTGTTGACGCCAACCCGTGGCCCGGATAGTCTGTTCTGGTTATGCCGCGCATTTTCGTCGCGGTGAGTATGATTCGATCAGGAGCGATCCCCATGCCCGATACCGCCGCCACGACCTCCGTTGCGACCGATTTGCACGTTGACGCAGATGGCCACCTCCTGCTGCGGAGGGAACCACCCGTCGCCACGGTTACCATCAACCGGCCGGCCCAACGCAACGCCATCTCCTTTACGATGTGGGGTCAACTTACCGAGTTGATGAACGACTTGGACAACGACCGCGACATTCGTTGCGTGGTGATAGCCGGCGCCGGTGATGAGGCGTTCTCGGCGGGCGCCGACATCAGCGATTTCGAAGCGCATCGCAGCGACTCCCAGGGGGGCCGCATCTACAACCGCGCCGTCGATGGCCTGCTGGAAAAGGTTGCCGAAATGGGTACGCCCGTCATCTCCATGATCGACGGTTTTGCCGCCGGCGGCGGTTGCGAGCTGGCCGTGGCCACCGACCTGCGCATCGCCAGCGAAAACAGCCGTTTGGGTATACCCGTGGCCCGGTTGGGAATAACCATCGGCCACCGGGAGATGTACGGCCTGGTGAACCTGGTGGGCAAGGGCAACGCGCTGTACATCCTGCTTACCGGCCGTCTGCTCGACGCCGCCGAATCCCTGCGCATCGGACTGGTCAATCAGGTAGTGCCGGCGGAGCAACTGGAAGCCGTCACCTACAAGCTGGCGGCCGACATAGCCTCCCTGGCGCCCCTGTCCCACGCCGTCAACAAGAAGACGCTCAACCAGGTGCTGGCCAAACCGTCGCTCGATCTCACCCCGGACGAGGCCGACCTTCCGCTCAACCAGTTTGACACCCGTGACTACCAGGAGGGCTACCGGGCGTTTTTGCAAAAGCGCCGGCCCACCTTCATCGGGGAGTAGGGGATCGTGTCAACCCAAAAACCTCGGCAAAGGAGCCCACGCCAGCGGGCCGATTTGTTGCTGGTGGAGAAGGGGTTGGTTGAAAGCCGCGAGCAGGCGCAGGCGCTCATTATGGCGGGGGCCGTATCGACTCCCACCGGTCCGGTGCTAAAGGCCGGCACCTTTTTACCACCGGATACACCGCTGGAGCTAAAGGAACGGCTGCCCTACGTCAGCCGCGGCGGCGTGAAGCTGGCCCACGCTCTGGATACCTGGGCTGAACACTTCGGCATACCGCTGGACGGCATCGTCGCACTGGACGCGGGGGCGTCGACGGGAGGGTTCACCGACTGCCTGCTGAATTATGGCAACAGCCGCGGTATGGGGGGAGCGCGGCGTGTTTACGCGGTGGATGTGGGACACGGGCAGCTGCACTATCGTCTGCGCACCGACCCGCGAGTGGTGTGCATGGAAAAGGTAAACGTGCGCCACCCGTTCCTACTGCCCGAGCCGGTCGATATGCTGGTGGTGGACGTATCGTTTATATCGCTGACGATGGCCCTGCCCGAGCCTTTGACCCACCTGCGTACGGATGGATACGGCATCGTTCTGATCAAACCCCAGTTTGAGGCCCGGCGTGGAGAGGTCGGCAAGGGCGGTATCATTCGCAGCGATGCGTTGCGAAATGACATACTGACGAGGGTTACCGACTGGCTCGGGGCGCGTCCGGAGATTCGTTTGCTGGACACGATAGACTCGCCCATCACGGGGGATGCCGGCAACCACGAATTCCTGGCGCTATTGCGAAAAGTAGAAACACAGCCAAGTTAGGATACTGTTATGTACGTACTACGGAGAATTTTCAAGACCAAACCCGGCGAAGCTCGTCGTGTAGCCAGCTTGCTGCAGAAGCAGGCGCAGGTTTACCACGACGCCGGTCAACGCAGCGAGTTCAAGGTTTATTTCAACGGGGCCACGGTACCCGGCGAAACCGACGTGGTTATATTGGAATGGACTGATGAGGCGCTGATGTCGCCCATGCGCGGCGGCCACCAGCTGCCGCCGGCAGCTCTTGAGCTTGGAGGCCAGATTCGCCCGCTGGTGGAGAGCCACCGCATCGAGTTCATGGAGTTGATGACTCCGGACAAGATGATGGATGTGTAGGGGGAGACGCGCGGCTCGTCATCGCGAGCCTTGTCAACGCGAGCCTTGTCGTTGAAACCGCAGTGTGGTAACCGGCAGCCGACCTGAAGGGTGTTTCTCAAGCAACACGCCGGGTCGTCGAGATTGCTGCGTCTCCGCTCCGCACCAATACTGGTGAAGATACCCCTTGGCGCCGAGTAGAAAAGGTGTGGCTATTGCCGCGCCAAACCTTCGGTATCTGTTCAGAGTTGGAGGTAGTATCCTGGCCCCAACCTGTCTTTCCCGCGCAAGCGGGAATCCAGGAAGCCGAGGATAAGCAACATTGCGGTTAAAAGACGTCTCTGGATTCCGGCTCAAGGCCGGAATGACGGAGTGGTATGGAAATCACACGTCGAGTCTGAACTGTAACAACCTTCGGCTGTCGACCAGCTGAACCACATGGACGGGCCGACGATACCGGCAGCATCTGGTCGGTAGGCTATAATCGCCGCGTCCGACCCATCACAAAAGGAGGCACATCGTGGACGTTCAACAGGTAGCCGAAACACTGCTGGAACGGGGACAAACCGTGTCCGTCGCCGAAGCCTGCACCAATGGATTGCTGGGGTACACCCTGGGAACCATTCCCGGTGCGTCACGCTTCTTCCCCGGCGGTGTCATCGCCTATACCGGTGGATTGAAAGAGAAAATCCTCGGCGTACCAGACGAACTGTACGAAACCGCCGGCAGCGTGAGCCGTGAGATGGCGATCTCCATGGCCCGCGGCGTCCTCGAACTGACCGGAACCGACTACGCCCTGTCCACCACCGGCGTCACCGGCCCGGCAGCCGGACGCAGCGGCCTGCCCATCGGCACGTTCTGGGTTGGCATGGCGGTGAAAGGCGGTGTCGACACTGCCATCGAGATACGCGTGGGCGGCGACCGCGACGATACCAAGCACGGAGCAGTGCAGGCGGCCATCAACCTGCTGGGCAATCACCTGGCCACTGGCTAACGACCCGCGTCGTCCCGCAAACTACGAACATATCGCGCTGCGTTGGCGATCACCGTCATTTCGTAAAAGCAGCGCCACAGGTCTTACGCGCGGCATAACGGAGGATTTCCCGATGCAATTTGGCGTGTCCCTTTCCGCCATCGCCCAACAGCCGGCCGGCATTGACATGCAGCAGGCCTTTGCCGACATCTGCACCTATGTGGGAGCAGCCCGCGACCTTGGCTTCGACATGGTGTATCAGGGTCAGCACTACCTTACCGACCCCTACCAGCAGCTCCAGACCATGCCCCTCCTGGCGCGTATTTCCGCCGAGGCTCGCGGCATGGGGCTGGTGGCCACCATGCTCGTGCCCCTGCATCATCCGGTGGACCTGGCGGAACGGGTTGCCACCATGGACGTGATCACCGGCGGCAGGTTCACGCTGAGCGCAGCGCTGGGCTATCGGGACGAGGAATATGACAACTTCGGTGTCCCACGACGCACGCGGGTGAGCCGGTATCTGGAATGCCTGGAAGCCATGCGGTTGCTGTGGACGGGCGAGAAGGTGAACTACGACGGCCAGTATTTCCAGCTGCGGGACGCTCAGCTGATGTTGCGTCCCGTGCAGCAACCCCATCCGCCGGTGTGGGTGGCTGCCAACAGCGATGCCGCCATCACCCGGGCGGCACGGCTGGGCTACACGTGGTACGTGAACCCTCATGCCAAGTTCGACACCATCAGCCAACAGGTCGAGATGTACCACGAGGCCGCCGGCGCAGCCGATTCGGGCGCACCGGAGCGGCTGCCCATCGGCCGCGAGGTGTTCGTGGGGCGCACGCACGAAGAGGCATTCGCCAGCGCCTCGCCATACCTGGGCGGCAAGTACGAAGCCTACGCCCAATGGGGCCAGGACAAGGCGCTGCCGGGTAACGAAAACTTCCGGGAACCCTTCGAGGACCTGGCGCGAGACCGGTTTATCATCGGCAGTCCCGACGAGGTGGTTGAAGAGCTGTCCCGCTACCGCAAGTTGGGCATGTCGCACGGCTGCTTCCGCATGATGTGGCCCGGTATGCCGCTGGAAGACGGGGTTGCCAATCTGGAGCTGTTCGCGGACCGGGTGGCCCCGCACCTGCGGGAGGACTGAACCGCGGCACGACGACCTTTTGACCTACCCCGGCATCAGGGTTTGGGTTGTCGGGGCGGTCGTTTTGATGCTTTCCCAATCGTATTGCATGGGCACCATGCGGACGGGCCCCCAGGTGGCCGATTGGTCGGCGTAGTGTTCGCTGCCAGGATGGCCCGATGCGCCCAACGGCACCGCCCAAAGCGAGCGTTCCCAGTCTCCCAGGTCGTAGGCGTAGCGGAATACCGACAGGCCGCCCACCGTAGCGAAATCGGCCGGCGAATAGGAACCCGCCCAGGGGGTATCGCCATCGCCGCCGGTGAGAATCTCCGGCGGGTTGAGCAGCGCACCCAGGCTGGGGGTTGCCATCGCCACTGGATGCTGGGGCCGCGCTCGATGCACTCGATCCCATCTCCAGGTTCCCATGTCCGGCCCCAGCCGGTGCGTCAGGATGTGGATTGCCTCTCCCAACGCGGCCGTAAGCGCGGCGGGCCAATTTTCGCCGTTGGGCAGCAGGCTGGTGTCGCCGTCCGTGATGGCGTCGTTCATTAGAATTCGGAACCGGTTTACGAACCCACCGCGCCCCCGATCGACAGGATGCCACGCCAATGCGGCCAGATCCTCGCCGATGTTGTGTTTCAGCAACCGCCACTGCAGCAGATCACGCATGGCGCTGTAGATGGTAGGTTCGATGGCGTCGCGATCCATGCTGCCAGACCAGGATTGCAGGCGATCCAACGCGGCAGCGACCGCCGGGTCAGCGGGTGGCGGACAGGATTGCAGGGCGGCAACATAGGCCCGCGCCGGGAGCGACACCCGTTCGGAATGGATGCGTCCCATTTCGCTGGCCGAAGGATTGGGCATGTTGAGAATGCGATCAGCGACGCGCATGGCACGGTAACCGGGTGCGAAGTCCATTGAGATGTAGTAGGGGTAATCCTCGAGAACGGGCCGGTTATTGGCCGTGACGATGTAACCTTCCGGCGGGTTGATATTGCGGGGCAGATCGGCAAAGGGGATGCTTCCCTGCCATTCGTGGTTCCCGTCCCAGCCCGGCACGGGCAACGGCGCCGGCGCATCGTCGGGGCGGCGGGGAATCTCGCCCCGGCACTGGTAGCCAATATTGCCGTGTACGTCGGCCATGACGAAGTTGTTGACCGGATCAACCCATTCTTCCATGGCATCGGCCAACTCGGTCACACTGCCAGCCTCCAGCATGGCCGGCAGGATGTTCGTCCACGGGTCGCCCTGATTTTCGTAAAAGATCGGCGTGGCGGTGTAGCGCAGGGCGAGGCCGTAACCGGACAACGGATCGCCGCCAACAATCGGGCCGTGGTGGGTCCCCCAGGTGCGCAGATGAACATCATCGCCGTCGCGTACGCGTATCACCTCATCACGAACGTCGGCGTTGTACCAGTCGCCCTGACGTTGATACAGCGAGGCGTCGGCGTCGTTGAACCGTTCGATGTACAAATCCTGATAGTCGGCGCTGGTGTGGGTAACGCACCAGGCCACCCACCGGTTGTGCCCAAAGTGGGGGAAACCGGGCACCCCGGCAAAGGAATTGCCCACCACGTCGAACCTGTCGCAGGCGAGATGGTTCTGGTAATAGACGCTGGGAACGTCCAGGCCACGGTGGCTGTCGCCGGCCAGGATAGGCTTGCCGGTGGCGGTGCGCTCGCCCGAAATCACCCAGGAGTTGGAGCCGCTATCCATCTCGCCGATGACATTCAGGTTGGCGGCGCCGTCGAGTAATTGCTGATAACCCACATCCGCGGAACCGCTGTAGGCGGCGCCGGTGGGGATTATGACCGGTTGACCCGGCGGATACGACGGAAACAACTGCGCCGCCCTCTCCGGCCCCAGCTCCAGCACCAGCCGAGCCCGCCACGCTTTGCTCTCAAACACGCCCATCAATACGTGACGCACCTTGTAAATGGCCAGGCTGTGCCACGGTTCCCAAGGCTCGGGCGCTATCCCGGTGATGCCGTACTCCACCGGCAGGGGCGCGTCGCTTTCGATGAATGCGTTGACCCCGTCGGCATAGGATTCCAGCATCGCCCGGGCGCGGGCGCCGGCGGCGGCGCAATCGGCGCGGGCCGCGTCTTCCAACCGGTGGCGGCGAATCTGAATATCCTGTCCCACGGCAGAGGGGCCGACCGCTTCGGCCCAGCGGCCCACTGCTCGCCGACGGTCATATTCCATCGCCCATAACCGGTCCTGAGCGGTCACAAACCCCTGGGCGAACCAGGCGTCGTGTTCGTCGGTGGCGCGGATGTGCGGGATGCCCCATTCGTCGCGCCAAACCTGAACCGCGGCATGCAGGCCGGACAGGGATATTCCGCCGTCCAGGGGAGGTATGGCAGCGCGAAGTTCGGCGTGGGTGATGGAGGCAGCGGCGGCGTCTACGGTCATCGGGGGCACCTCATTACGGTCTGATGGCCCAATAGTACCCCACCGGCGAATGGGCTGCATCCGGCCTAAACCGTGTCCAGCCGGTGCATCCATGTAAGATGCCGATGCCCGCTCCCTCAGTAAATCACTCCTGCTTCTTCCAGCCGCTCGATCTCCGCGGACGGCATCCCCAGCAGTTCTCCAAACACGTAGGCGTTATCCTCGCCGATGTTGCTGTACTTGCCGAACTCAATGGGCGTGCCCGACATGCGTGCCGGTATGGTCCACGAACGCTCTCGCCTTCCGTCCACTCGGTGGCCTTCACGCCCCGTTCCGCTTCCCAATATCGCGTGTCCTGATAAAACCCCCGCGACTTCAGGTGTGCGCTGTCGTTCAGGTCCTCGCCCTGGGAGACTATGCCGGCCGGCACGCCGGCAGCCTGCAATATTCCCATGAGCGAAACCGAATCCTGAACCTGCGTCCATTCAGTGATGCCCGCGTCCAGTGATTTCTCGTTCTTGCGCCGCCCGATGCGTGTTTCGAACTCGGGTGTGGTGGCCCAGGCCGGATCGCCCATGGCCGTCCGCAAACACTGCCATTGCTGGTCGTTGGCGGCCGAGATGGCGATATACCGGTCTTCGCCGGCGCACGGATACACCCCGTGAGGCACGGCGTAGGCGTCCCGATTGCCCCGACGTTGCGGCCCGCGACCGTTGACCTGGTATTCCAGCAGCGCTGGCCCGCAGGTTGCCACGCCCGACTTGAATATCGACGATTCCATCGTTGCCGTTTTGCCGGTCAGATTCCGCCGCATCAAGGCCGCTATGATGGCCGCCGGCTGGAACACGCCGGTATGGTAGTCGGAGTAGGACGTGTTCACCACCCCGGGAGGCTCTTCGTCCTCGCCGGTCATTAGCGATACGCCGGACAGGTGTTGTACCAGGATTCCAAATGACTTGTAGGTGTAGTACGGCCCGTGCCCGCCCAAACCGGTCTGCCACATGATTACGGAGTCGGGCCGATGCTCGCGGATGGTGGGGAAGTCGATGCCCCAGCGATCCAGAATATTGCGGCGGAAGTTGGTCATGAACACGTCGCTGATGCGCACCAGTTCCAGCATCAGGTCGCGTCCCTTCGGCGTCCGCACGTCCAGCGTAATTCGCCGCTTGCCCCGCTGGTACTCCGGTTGCCCAGCGCCCCTGGACCATGCCGGTATGAACGCCATCTCATCGAGTACCTTGTTGGTTTCCACCTTGATGACTTCTGCGCCCAGCGACCCCAGAATGCGCCCGGTGAGCGGCAAAGCCACGTAGGGGCCAAACTCCACTACGCGGATTCCTCTCAGTGCGTTGGTGTTCACGGTATCCGTCATATCCGTTCCTCGAAATTGCTCCGGCGTCGGGCTAAATGACTCCATCCGCCCGCAGGGCAGCCAATTCTGCTGCGTCCAATCCCAACTCGCCGCGAAATACGGCCATGTTGTCCGATCCAAGCGCTGGCGCGGGTCGCTTCCGTGGTGAAACCTCTTCACTGTGGAAAATGCCCAGCGGATATTTCAGCGTCCCCATGTTCCCGTCATCGTGCTCGATCTCCGACCAAAACCCCGACTCGGCCAGTTGGGGGTCTGCCAGCAGGTCGGCGACGTCATTCACCGGCAGGAACACCAGATTGCGGCGTTGACCTTCGTGGAACAGTTCCTGAACGGTAAAATTCTCCGCAAATTCCAAAAAGAGCGCCGTTATGATGTCGATGTGTTCCGCCCGGTCCTGGTTGCCGCCCCGATATGCTTCGTTGAGGACCTCGTCGTTGCCGGTAACTTCGTGAATCCACTCGGCCAGTGCGTCCCACTCCCGCGGTGTGATGACGCCAGCGGAGATCCACCCGTCCTTGCAGGGATAGGCTCCCAACGGGATCACCAGCGTGGAGTTGGTGCCAACCCGAGTTACGTTCTGTCCCAGCTTGCGCCACAGCAGCGCCGGATGAGCGTCGGTGTAGTAGGTGATCAACGCTTCCTGTGATGAGACGTCGATGTGCTGGCCGTCTCCGCCGCCGAAATCCCGATGATACAACGCCGCCAGAATCCCGACTGCCGCGTACTGAGCGGCGGGATAGTGGCTGTGTTCATTGCCCTGTCTAACCGGCGGTTCGTCGGGATCGCCAGTAATTTGCATGTAACCACTGGCCGCCATCACCACCAGGTCGTCGCCCTGATAGTCGGCCCACTCGCCGGTGCAGCCAAATGGTGTTACCGATGCCATCACCAGACCGGGGTTTGCGGCCCGCAGCGCTCAAAACCGATTCCGCGGTCGTAAAGATAGTGCCGGTCGAAACTCTCGATGATCACGTCCGCGTCCGCAGCCAGCCGGCGGAACAATTCCCGACCCGATTCGCACTCCAGATCCAGGGTGATTGAGCGTTTGTTGGTGTTGTAAAACATGAAATCCAAACTGCGCTCGGTGTTTGGCGCGTCGTCCGGATATGGGCCCAACCGTCGCGACGGGTCGCCACCCGGAGGTTCCACCTTCACCACATCCGCACCGTAATCGGCCAGCAGGCGACCGCAGAATGCCGCCCGCCGGTCGGTCAAATCCAGAACCCGGTAAGGCGGAATCAAATCCGCGCCGGTGTAGTCATCAAACCGAGGCATAGCCCTCCAACTCCCTTGCCAAACGAGGCCAGTACGATGTTTCGGTCGCCGCCAATGTATCGCCGGCGCTCCCCCATGTCAAAACCGGTCTGCCATGTCAGCGCGGAATCCCCCTGCACAGCGTTCGGGCGCCCACAAATCCCCAACCCGAACGGCGTAGCAACTCGGCAATCCCTCCCGCGCAGCGCAACCGGAAAATCCTACCGGGTTGGTTGATTATGATACCCTCGTTTCCATCCCAATCTGCCCGTGCCGAGAGTTGCTCCATGTCTACCATGCACCCTACCGATATTAATGCTGCGCTGGTCAATCTGGTTCGAAAGCGCAATACCGACTGGTGGCAAACCGCCGCCATTGGTCTTACTCCCGCCCTTCGCCCCATCCTGGCCCTGCAGGACACCCGAACCCTCGGGTCCGCCACGGACTCCCACCGGCCGGCCGTGCTGCTCGTCGCCGGACTGCGGGGAAACCCCTCCGACACGCCCCGGCTGTTGGTTGCGCTGGATCGGTTCACCCAATCCGCAGCCTCCGGAGCCTCTGGGGTTGCGTTATCCGCAATCGTCGCCGCCAATCCAGACGCCCTGGCCGGCGGTGACTGGGAAGCCAGTAGTGACCGACGGATCGACTTCACCGCCGGTTATCCACCCCGGGAAGGGTTTTATTTCGACGAAACCGCTCCGGAGCGTCGCTACCTGTGGCGCTGGATTAACTACGAAGCCCCCGACCTGGTTGTAGAGGTCGCGTTGATCGACGAGGAAAATGCCCCGCCGCGTTGGGAAGCCAACGCCGTGGCCGTGGGTTCTACGGTTGCCTCCGCCCTGACAACCGGCGATGTGTCCGACGATGACTCGCTGGTCGCCGCCCTCGGCCAACCCGCCGATGATGCCCCCGGCCGCATCCCTGCCCTCCGTCTCACCACCCACTGGTCTGGACTCACCGATGCGTTGACCGATTTGTGGGCGCTTACCGGCAGGGGTGCAGACATACCGCCCTCCGCCGGCCGACTCGCCCTGGATGCCCGCCGATCCCGCTCTCCGCTCGCCCTTGCCAATATCCTGGCCGGGCGCTACGGCCATGTGCTGGACCCGGTCAACTATACCCAGGGCGTCGGAATCAGCGGCCGCCTGCGTCTGGCTGCCCTCGACGATACCTATCCCGACCCGACTGCCGAGATCGCGAACCTGGTGGAACCGATCATCGCCGACCCGGCGAAATACCTGGACAACGCTGGAGGCGCTGCCCTCACCGGGGTGGTATGGTCGGCGCGGCAGGCCGACGTGACGGGCGATGATCGTTATCGGCAGCTGTTCTTCAACGCCGCCGATCGGTTCTCGTCCCGTGGGTTGGGTGAAGCTCCTGCCCCCTGCGACCCCGATTTCCGCGTTGAGGATATGTTCATGACCGGCGCGATGCTGGGTCGCGCGCATCGAATCAGCGTCGACGCCAGGTACGCTGATATGCTGGCCAACTTCCTCGTTGACGGCGGTGACGTACAGCAGGACAACGGCCTGTTCTGGCACGCCCGTTCCGCCCCGTACTACTGGAGCCGTGGCAACGGATTTGCGGCCCTGGGCTACGCCGAGGCCCTGACCTACCTGCCCAATGATCACCCGGCCCGGCCCGAGCTTTTGCGAAGGCACCGCAACCACCTGGACGCCCTGTTAAGGGTCCAGCAACCCTGGGGCACGTTCGGGGAGCTGGTCGATGTCCCCGGAGCCTGGGGCGAGCTCACATCGACCAGCATGGTGGGCTACGCGCTGGCCCGCGGGTTGCGCAGCGGCTGGCTGCCGGCTGATGAAGAAGCTGGGTATGGTCGTGGCCTTACTGCCTGCTGGCGTGCGTTGCGTGAGCGCATCGACGAAGTCGGCGGCGTGGTGGACGGTTGTATCAGCACCGGCGTCATGCCAGACATTCCGGCCTACCTGAATCGCACTGCCGTCAACGGCTACGACGACCGCACCGGCAGCATGGCCCTCTGGTTCGCCTGCGAGATGCACCAATATCTGACTGGCGCCTCCAGGTAGGCACCCTCCTGCGTACCCACTTTGTCATTGCGACCGCGTACTCGATGCAGGAGTTGGCAACCTTGTCACCGTAGCAACGGCGGTTCGCCGACGTGAGTTCAACCTCATCGCTATTGTCACGTCGTTATGCTCCTCGCAATGACAGATTAAATTGGGGCAAGGGTGCGGGTAGGCGCCGGGTCAAATCCCGGCAGGTCTGCGTGCTAAAATGGCCGGAACACCGGTTTACACCGGATGGAGGGTCCAACATGCTGACCAGGCTGGAAGTTAACGGGTTCAAAAATCTGGTCAATTTCGCGTTGGATTTTGGCCCGTACACCTGCATCGCCGGGCCCAATGGCGTTGGAAAGTCAAACATCTTCGACGCCATCAAGTTCTTGTCGTTGCTCACGGACCACACCATCAATCAGGCCGCTTTGCGATTGCGAAATGTGGCGGAGGATACGGGCGACATTAGCGACCTGTTTTTCTCGGGAGGTGGCGCTCAAACTCAACGCATTGAGTTCGCCGTGGAGATGTTGGTGGATCGAGAGGTTTCGGACGATTTTGGGCGAACGGTGGAACCGTCTTCTTCCTTTTTGCGTTACGAAGTCGCCTTCCGCCATATACCACCCTCGGCGCAGGCTGGCCCCCTGGGTGGCCTGCGTTTGGAGCGCGAGGAACTTCGCCCCATCACCACGGGACGCGCGTCCCGTCATCTGAAATTCCCGCATAACAAAAGCAGATTCCGCGACAGCGTCGTGTATAACAACCGGCATAGCCAATCCGGGTATGTTTCGACCCATGCAGATGAAAAAACCGGACAGGCTGCCATCACGGTGCATCAGGACGGCGGATCTTACGGACGCGGTCGCCCGGCGCCGGCCGAAGGGGCGACGCGGACCATCATCGGCACGGAGAACACAGCGGCCACTCCGACGATACTGGCGGCCCGACGCGAGATGCAAAACTGGCGTATCCTGGCGCTGGAACCCTCGATCATGCGCCGGCCCGACCGCTTCACCGACAAACCTGGCATTACAGCCAACGGAGGGCACATCCCAGCTACGTTGCAACACCTGGCTGGAAGTGTGCGTGGCGAAGATGCCGATAACGCCCGGATTTTTGAAATAGTAGCCAGCCGATTGGCTGACTTTGTTCCGGTGCGTACTGTCCGCGTATTGCGCGACGATGTGAGGCAATTGCTGTCGTTGGAGATGGAGGAACCGTCCGGCGTTCGTTTGGGAGCCAACTCGATATCCGACGGCACCCTGCGGTTCCTGGCGCTGGTTGCAATCGAGGAAGCCTCTAATACTTCCGGACTCTATTGCATGGAAGAACCCGAAAACGGTATACACCCGCAAAAACTGTCTGCCATGAACCAGCTATTGCTCGACATTGCTGTTGACCCACAACTGAAAGTAGACCTGGACAACCCGCTGCGCCAGGTGATTGTCACGACTCATTCTCCGTACTTCGTGCAGTTACAGAACCGTCATGATCTTGTAATGGCGAAAGAAAAGGCGACCCTCCCTACATGTGGTGAGACTGTGCAACACCTGAAGTGCCATCCCTATGCACATTCATGGCGTTGTTCCGGTGACGAAAGCGACTGCATTGATTTTGTGGCGTTGCAATCCTATCTGCTCCCGCCCAATGAGGCTCAAATAGCCTTTCCGCCGGATTTCTGGGCGAGAACCTGATGCGGCGATGGCTACCGTGCGCCCGGCAGGGTTCACACCGCTGAGGAGGGCAGGTCGCCGTGGGGCATGAGTTACGTCGGGCGCGTGTTCGTCCCGCCACAGCGTTGTGGGTTCGCCGTTGAATTTACCGGTCGATTTATCGAATGCGTCTGTTGCCGCCGGTGGTCAGCGCACGAGAGGGTGTAGAATCTTGGGCGGATTTACGCGACGACTCCATCGTGGCGTAGCAGGAATCAAGGCCAATTTCTGATATGCACCTTCTAATCGCCTTCATATCCCGAAACACACCCTTCTACTATGGTTGGATAGTTCTCGGAGCCGCCGGCAGCAGCATGGTGGTGCGAAACGCCGCCGGCAGCCTCACCTTCGCCGTCTTCGTGCCCCTGATCGCGGAAGATACCGGATGGAGCCGTGCCATCGTAGGTGGCGCAGCCGCCGTCGGAGGTTTGTTGGCCACCGGCGCATCGCCTCCCTTCGGTTGGGCCATCGACAAGTTCGGAGCCCGGGTCGTGCTGGTGTTGTCGCTGGTCATCATCGGTCTCAGCACTATGGCGCTGGCCTGGCTCGAAGTGCACATCGCAATCTTCTATGCTGCCATGGCCATCGGGCGCATCATGTTCAGCAGTCCGCTGAACGTGGGTCCGGCAACCGTGGTCGGGCGCTGGTTTGTCAAGCAGCGCGGCCGAGCCACCGGGCTGCTGTTCTTGTCCCACTCGGGGGGCATGGCGTTATTTCCGCTGGTGGCCACCTGGTTGAGTTATGCGTACAGTTGGCAAACGGCGTGGATCGTGCTGGGACTCATGGTGTACGCAATCGCGCTGGCTCCGGCGGCATTGCTGATCGCACAGCGGCCTGAGGACGTCGGAATGCTTCCTGATGGCGATCTCCCGGACGGCGCTGTTCCCGATGCCAACGCCGCCGGTAGTGCGACAGCGGCTCCGGTGGACACCGAACCGCAATGGACAACGCGACAGGCCCTGCGAACGCCGGCCCTTTGGGTTTTGGCCATCGGTACCGGGTTTCTTTTCCTGCTGCAGTCGGGCACCAACGTTTATCAGGCCGATCTGCTGCGATCTCGTGGCATCGACCTCACGTTGTCGCAGTTGAGTATCGTCGTCAATGCGGCCGGCACCGGGTTGGGCAGCCTTTTATGGGGCCGGGTGGTTGAGAAGCTGCGAGTTTCTTACACCTACGCCATAGTGGCTCTGGTAATGGCGTTGGCCCTGGGTCTGTTCGTAGTCGCCGACAACGTATTGTTGGGGTTTACCGCGGCGGGCCTGTTCGGGATTGCCGTGGCCGGCATCCTGGTGGTGCCCGCCGTTGCCTACGCTGATTTCTTCGGACGTCAGTCCCTGGGGACCATCCGCGGTGTTACGGAGCCGTTCACTTCGTTGGGGCAGGCTATCGGGGCCGTGTCGTCCGGGTTGGTGTTCCAGTTTGCCCATTCGTACACCTACGCCTTTGTTGTGTACGCCATGTTGGCGATGTTGACTGCGGCTGCCCTGCTGTTGGCCCGCCCTCCCACTTATCCGGCCGCCGCCGCGATCGCCGGGGAAACCGCCGATTAGGGCCCGTAATGTCCTATGGCCCGGCTATGGGGAGGTCGGGATAAGCCTGGGAAGTAGGAAAGGGTCGGTCTGGATCAACCCGTCGCAACTGGTAAGCATCGGACTCCATGATGGCGTCAATGTTGGCAGGGAAGTCCTCGAAGCGGTCGGCGAAGGCGCGTATCAGCCGGCCGGACAGCGTTCCGCAGTCGTCGCTACCCAGGAATACTGCCAGCGCCGCGGCACGTTCTATCGATGCGCCCTCTCCTGAAGTCACCTGAATACCGCGCTCGTACATCGCGGTGTCGCCGATCTCTTTCGCCAGATCCCGTGTCTCTTCCCACATGCGGGTGTGGATGGATCCGGGACTGATGGCGTTCACGGTTATGGAGGTGTCGGCCAACTCCAGAGCCAGGTTCTCGGTGAGGTTTACGATGGCCACCTTGGCAGCGTCGTAGGCGGTAACGTTGGGTCCGCCCACGCCTGACATGTTCACGATTCGGCCTGAACCCTGCTCCAGCATGATCGGGATTACCGCCCGGCAGCCGAAGTACACCCCCAACAGGTGGACGTTGATGGTTCGCGCCCAATCGTCCGGATCGTTTTCCCACAGGCGACCGACGGGGCCGATGTTTCCGGCGTTGTTGACCATCACGTCAATTGCGCCGTAACGGTCCAGCGTGCGGGCCACCGCATTGTCCATCTGGCGACGGCTGGTCACGTCGGCGACTACCGTCAATACCTCGGTTCCGAACCTTTCGGTTATGCTCTGCGCCGTTTCCTGCAATTCGGCGTCGGTGCGAGCTGCCAGGGTAAGTTTTGCTCCCGCCTCGGCGTATGCCATTGCGATGGCCTGTCCGATTCCACGACCACCGCCGGTTATCAACGCCACGCTCCCGTCGAGTTTCTTCTGGTCAACCATGGTGTGCCTCCTCCGGTGGAACGTGGGTCAATACCGCGGTGGTACAATTCGGCTACATACTACACGATGGGAGTGTACCCATGAGCGATGAAATCCGGCCCGGCGCCGGGGTTGCCAATACGGTTTCCTTTACCAGCATGGCGTCTGGAACCCGCGAAGACTACGAGCTGCTGGAGCGGCTGGAGGCGGAATTCGCGGCCGGCGCTGCCGAACGGGTACTGGACCAGCTGCGCGGCCTGGCGGGATCGTTGGGCGGATACCAGGTTGACCGGTTGGAACATTCGCTGCAAACGGCCACCAGGGCGCATCTGGACCACGCCGACGAGGAAATGGTCGTCGCTGCCCTGCTCCACGACATCGGCGACTTGCTGTCACCCCACAACCACAGTGAGCTGGCCGCCGCGGTGCTTCGGCCGTACGTGTCCGAGGAAACCTGGTGGATTGTCCGGCAACACGGCCTGTTCCAGAGTTACTACTACGCGCACCATCACGGCGGCGACCGCCATGCCCGCGATCGCTACATCGACCATCCCTGGTATCAGGCGGCGGTAGATTTCTGCCACCGGTGGGATCAGCCATCATTCGATCCGGCTTTTCAGTCCCTCCCACTGGCATTCTTTGAGCCCATGGTGCGCCGCATTTTTGCACGCCAACCGTTCAGCACGGTGGCCTGAATTCCGTTTCGATACGACCCCGCAAACCACCACAACCCCACACGAGGTAACCAACCATGACCCTGGAAGGCAAAGTAGCACTGGTGACCGGCGCCGGCGGTATGCGCGGCGTGGGTCGTGCCACCGCCCTGAAGCTGGCGTCCCAAGGTGCTGACGTAGCAATTACCGATATTCGGCGCCCGGCAGACGACCTGCCTCCTGGCGAGGTTCGCTCCGAGTGGCAGTCCATCGACAGCGTGGCCGACGAAGTGCGTGGTTTGGGACGCCGCGTGCTACCGATTTACGCCGACCTCTCCGAAAGCCAACAGATCGAGGATCTGGTAGCGCAGGCGGTGGATCATTTCGGCCGCCTGGACATTATGGTCAACAACGCCCGCGCCGTTATTGGCCGGGACAAGGTTCCGGTTACCGAGCTGGATGAAGACGTTTGGCATCACTTTCTGTCCATCAACACCACCGCCGTTTTCCTGTGCACCAAATTCGCCGGCCGCGAGATGGTGCGCATGGGCAACGGTGGGCGGATCGTCAATATCGCCAGCAACGCCGGCAAGCAGGCCAGCGCGGATGGCGCCGCCTATTCTTCCAGCAAATTTGCCGTCATAGGATTGACCCAGGCTTCGGCGCTGGATCTGGCGGCCCACGGCATTACCGTCAACGCGGTGTGCCCCGGCCCCATCAACACCGACCGGATGAGTTATTGGGAACGCGACCAGGCTGCCCAGCGCGGATTGACCCAAGAGCAGTTTCGGGCCCAAATTGTGTCCGCATCCGGCGAACGCACCCCGTTGGGACGCATCGCCGAGGCTGGGGACGTAGCCAACCTCGTTTCCTTTCTCGCCGGCCCTGACTCCGAATTCATCACCGGCCAGTCATACAACGTCAACGGCGGCCTGTTGTTCCACTGACCAGATTTACCAATCGCAGGAGCTCTCAAATGCAGTACGGATTCACCCTGCCGGGGCGCGGCCCTCTGGCAAACCCCGACAACCTGGCCACCATCGCGCAACGCGGTGAGGCGTTGGGCTTCGATTCCATCTCTCTTGGAGATCACATCCTCGTTCCCCACAGCATTTCGTCCGAATATCCATACACCCAAACCGGCGAGTTTCCCGGGTCAACAACGGGTCAGTCCATGGAGCAAATCACCGCCCTGGCCTTCATGGCCGGCTGCACCGAAAAAATCCGACTGGCCACCTCGGTGCTAATCGTGCCCCATCGCAACCCGATTATTGCCGCCAAATCGCTGGCGACCCTGGATTACCTGTCCGGCGGCCGACTCATCATCGGAGTGGGCGTGGGCTGGATGCGTGAAGAGTTCGAGGCTGTTGGTTGCGAACCATTTGATGAACGCGGCGCCGTCACCGATGAATATATCCGCGCGTTCAAGGAGCTATGGACGTCTGACAACCCCACGTTCGAGGGTAAGTACGTCAGTTTTTCTGATATCAATTTCCTCCCCAAGCCGGTGCAAAAGCCACATCCGCCCCTGTGGGTCGGGGGAGAAAGCCGGCCGGCCATCCGTCGCGCCGCCACTCTGTGCGATGGTTGGTATCCCATCGGCAACAACCCGTCGTTCCCGGTGGGCACGCCCGATGCACTGCAGCAAGGTATGGATCGTCTCCGCCGCACCGCTGAACGCGCCGGTCGCAACCCCGAAGAAATCCAGATTATTTACCGGAGCCACGACTACCGCATCACTGGCGCCGATACGAGCAGCGAGCGTACCCGTTTCACGGGCAGCAGCGAGCAGATCGCCGGAGATATCCGCCAGTATCAGGATATGGGCGTCAGCTACCTGGTGCTGGATATCGCCCGGCTCAGCGGAGATGGCAATCTGGAAGAAACCCTGGGTCATCTGGAGGATTTCACCACCCAGGTCGCCGCAAAAGTCTGATCCAACCACCACGCCCAATTTATTTTTTGACCTGGGAAGCCGGTCACCGGTAACCTTCGGCCAATGCCCTTTTCTCTAACGGCCGACAACGCCATCGCCTATCTCGTCCGACGCGGTGTCGTGGATGCCGCGGCCGCCGGCGTCGCAACCGCCGAGATGCTGGGTGGTGGCGTTTCGAATATCGTGGTGCGCGTTTCTACGCCCGGCGATCCCGATGGCGCTTTGGTTGTAAAACAGTCGCTACCGCAGCTGAGAGTTCCCCAGGAATGGTTGGCAGACCGGCATCGCATCCACCGTGAATGGGCCAGCATACGTTATCTGGCCGACGTGTTGCCGCCCGCCTGCATTCCGCGAGTTGTTTACGAAAACGAGGAAGATTTCCTTTACGTGATGACGTCAGCCCCGGCAGCAGGTGTCAATTGGAAGGATGCCCTGCTCGGCGGCCGCGTAGATGTCCCGGTTGCCGGCAAGGTCGGAGCCTTGTTGGGAATGATCCACCGGGCCACGCAAATCGAGGACGGCAACATTCCGGCCAGCCTGCAGCCGTTCGCCGATCAGCAGTGTTTCGTCCAGTTACGCATCGATCCATACCATCGCGCCACAGCAGGCGTCCATCCCGACCTCGCCCGTGCAATCGAAGCCGAAGCACAGCGAATGCTCAATCATCCGATGGCGATGGTGCACGGTGATTACAGTCCCAAAAACGTCATCGTAACTGGCGCCGGCGATTCCGCCGCCGTGTTTTTGCTGGATTTTGAGGTTGTGCACATGGGCAATCCAGTTTTTGATCTGTCTTTTATGATCAATCACCTGACCTTGAAGGCAGTTCATCGGCCCGAATTGACCGAGCGTTACAACCGGGCCGCCCGGTCTTTCTGGGATGGTTACACCCGCGCCGTCGAGTTGCAGTCGAATGATGTTGTGGAACTGGAATCTCAGACCATCCGCCAATTGGGTGTGCTTCTGCTGGCCCGCGTGGATGGCAAATCCCCTGCGGAGTACATCATTACCAATGACGCCCGGGACCGAGTGCGTCGGCTGGCCCGTTTGATATTGTCCGGCGGCTTGACTCGGATATCCCACGTACATGACTGGCTGTTGAATCCCAGCATCGGTTGATCTCGGTACGCGATATGCCGGTGCAGTCGGCGGTGCGTCTCCGGTTGCCGGATCCTCCAACACGGTCAACCTGACTGACATCAGACCCTTGTGCGGTCGTGTTCCGGCTGTTTATCGTGGATGATGTAAACCGCTAAATCATTTAGACCACTGCAACCGAGAGTCCGCAACACCGATGCAAGCCATGCCCAACTTACAACACTCGGCATCCCAACCCATGACTGCAGCTGCTGAACCTCTGCAGCCAGTGGACAGCGATGCTTCTCTGCGCCCCGAAAGCGAAATGAACCCTGCCTGGCCGGCAGTGTTCTATCCAACAGCCACGCCCGGCGAAATGTTCCGATGTCTGAATTCCCGGACGCCAAGGTTGTTTGCTGACCTGACCGGATACCTGGTCATGCTGCCGGAACCTGACCTATATCTGCTCACGGCCGCTGTTTTCTCGCTGCATCAGCATCCGGAGGCTGCGGAGAGTTGGGACATTTCGTGCTTCGGTGGCGAACCGGAAATTCAGGACGCCCGCGCTCCGGTTGAAATTTGGTCACCGCGACTCGTGGCGGCGCTGCTCACCGAGCTGGGATGGCGCAATTGCCGCGAAATGGGCAGCAATCCCACTGGCGCGGCGCGTCGGGGAAGGTTACTGCAACTCGTAAGCACGTTTGCGCCGTTGTCCCGTTCCGGACCGTCTCCCACGCACCGGGACAAGATGTTGGGCAACTGCCCGTTCTGCGCCGCGCAAGCGGAACTTTGCGTGCTGCTTCCGGAGGTTCGATGGCGGTGCTTCTCATGCGAACGTGGCGGCGGGTTGCTGGAATTTGGCCAGGAACTTCTCCAAGCCACGATGGGGATTGCCTCATCATAAATTCCCGGCGCTACGCCGGTTATTTGATTCCGGTAGAACGGCGACGCAACGGAAGCTAACGATTCCTGTTTCCAGCATTCTATGAAATGACGCGGGTGGCTGGACGTCCACCTCATTGGGCAGCCCAAACGCGGTATATAGCCGACTCGGCGGTGGCAGGCGCAACGGGCGCTACAACGACGATTACCTTGCCGGTCTCAGATGCCGGAGTCTCCACTGAGCCGGCAAGAACATCTCGGATGGGGTCGTATTGCAACCCCATGCGGGTGATGGCGGGTTCGGTCCCGTCGGAGATTACCCAGACGATCCAGTCCTGAGCGACGCTGTTGTTCACTCGAACGAACCCGTCCGGGCGCCAATCTGTCGGGGTGCGCGCGCCGTCTCCAGGCAACCGAATGTCTCGCACGCAGAATCCCGGGCCATGAATCGCGTCATCAGTAACGTAGTGGAACCTGATCATCACCTGGCGGCCCGCATACTCGTGGAGCGAAACTTCGGCGCGCTGCCAGTCCCTTGACCCCGTGTAACCCGGGCCGAAGCTGTTGCCCACGGGATTCTCATCGGTCGTTGCCTCTGACGGAAGAACGTCCCAGGTGGCGCCACCGTCTTCCGAGATTTCCACGTAGGTGTAGTCCCAGTTCTCTTCGATCTCAAACCAGCTGAGGAAATCCAGGCTGGGAGGTTTTTCATACTGCCCGGTTTGCGGCACGCTAACAACACCGGTCAACGTGGATGAAATGGAATCACCGCGATTGCTCCACCAACAGGACCCGCCCGGGATCTGCGTCGGCAACAGCGAAGTGGTGGCGCTGCCCTCAAAATGAACCGTGTAAGCATTGCCGTCTTCCCCGCTTATTCCCCAGTAATCGGCGGCAAACTGCGCCAGGGCGGATTCTCGGGCTTCGTCGCCCGCCTGTTGTCTTCGAGTGAGGGTGGCGCTTACGTCCAGGTTCGCATAGCCATATACCCCGTTGTCACTGTCCAGCATGTTGGCCAATACCCAGTCGGCAAATACGGAATTGAAGCTGGCGGGATGCCCGTCGTTGGTTGTTGCTTCCTGCGTGGCCAGATACGCGTCAATGGACGCCATGCCGTCGGCAGGCTCGGCGAGCAATGCAGCCAGGCCTTCTCCGTGGATATAGTGTTCCCGCAGGTAGTGGGCGAACAGCGACGCAGCGCCGTAATTCAAGCCCACTTCGCCGCCAAATTCTGATGGCCAGTTCACCAATGATGTATTGGGACGCTGCAGGAAAGCGCCTGCACTGACGGTTGATAGCCCCGCCTCCGTTACGGCCAACTCCGACAGCCCTTCGTTCAACCAGGTGGATTCTGACGGGTCAGCAGCTCCGTGGATAACGTGCTGCAATTCGTGGGCCACCGTCGACAGGTAGCTATCGCTCCCGATCCGTAAGCTGCGCGCGTTGGCATTGATGTAAATCGCAGTTATCTCGTTGCTGTATTTGGCGACGGTGGCCGGGAACGCGTCCGCTCCAGATACGTAGCCGGCCAGACCCAGTATGCGTCCGTTTACAATGTGCAGGCGGTTGGTCTCGCCGGAGAACCCGTATGCCGGTGATCCGAAAGCAGCGTGTATTTGCGGGAACACCTGTTGCTCAGCCTGCGCCGTTGCCTGCTCCAGGTCATCGTCTTCGACACTCAGGTCGTGTTCTACCCACCAGTAAGCGCTATTTGATATGGCCGCCAACCGGAATAATTTGCGATCCATGGTCAGGCGGTTTGAATCCAGGATCCAGAATCGGGCTTCGGCTCCCACCGCCAGAACCGTCCCGGTGAACTGGTGTGGCGCCGCTTCTGGTTCGATGCCTTTCCAGCGCAATTGCCTGGCTAACGCCGTCAGGTCGCGGTCGGGCGGGATGGGAAAGTCGTCGGCAGTCATCCTTGCCGACTGGCTGGTGTAACCGGACGGCGTATCAGTTGCATCCCGCTTCGCCGGGGTGTCGGCGACGAGCGTCGGCAAGGATGACACCACGGTTGGTTCGGCATCCGCTGACACCGGTGTGTCATCCGGCGTTGCTAAAGCCGGCAACCCTGGTGGTCCACCAGCAGTGCACGACGCGAAAACCGCAAGCAAAACCACCGACAACAGGGCCAGTGGCGCAACCCCCTTCATGCTCCCGAAGCGTCCGGCTCAGGAGGTTTGGGTACAGCCGGCGATCCGGGCGTAACTGGATTTGTGGAGGGTGGCTGTGGGTCAGTGTTGAAACGGTTCATTGCGATGCTGATCCCATCGGTGAGGAAACATTCCAGAGCGTCCGCTGCCCTGATGACGCAAGCCTCTGCGTCCGGTTGCTCCTCGGGTGAGAATCGACCCAATACGTGGTTTACGCTGCCCGAACCCCCGTCTGGCGGCCCGATGCCGATACGCAACCGCGGGAATGCCGTGGTGTGTAACGTTCGTATGATGTCCTTGATCCCGTTGTGTCCAGCGTCAGATCCCTGAGTCCGCAAGCGGAGTCTGCCCAGGGGCAGCGCCATTTCGTCGTAAACAATTATGAGCTCCGCCGGCCGGCTGCCGAACCTTGCCATCAGATACGCCACCGACTCGCCCGACAGATTCATGAAAGTGCGCGGCTTGGCCAGCACCACGGGAGCGCCGTTGCGGTAACCCTGGCCCAGCACGGTGGTGCGTCGCCGGTCGTTGACCGCGATCCCCCAGCGTTTTGCGAGGAGATCCACACACGCGAAACCTATGTTGTGGCGGGTATCCCGGAATCGATCCCCGGGGTTACCCAACCCTACTATCAAATATGGTCTGTCTTTCGTCTCCTGCATGTTATTCCCGGTCTGCCAGATTGCCATCGTCCCGGTTCAGTCCAAAGTGTTCGTGTGGGAAAGGCCGTGTCAGTCCCGAATAAGGGGCGGGGTTTCATGCCCGCCCCTTGATTTCAACGCTCACTCCTGCCGGGAGATAACGTTGAATCATGTAACAATTTTTTCAGCCTGGCCTGGCTACCCCTCCTGCAGAGCTTCCAGCACCGCGGTGGGTGAAATCGGAAGCTTGTTTACCCGCACGCCAACAGCGTGATAGACGGCGTTGTGCAACGCAGCCAACGGAGGGATGATCGGCGCTTCGCCGACGCCCCGCAAACCGTAGGGATGGCGCGGATTCGGCACCTCTACTATGACGGTTTCGATCATCGGCAAATCAAGTGCGGTTGGCATCCGGTAGTCCAGGAAGCTGGAGTTGAGCATCCGACCGTCGCTGGCGTACGTGTAATCCTCGGACAGGGCCCAGCCCAATCCCTGAACCGTGCCTCCCTGCATCTGACCTTCCACGTAACTCGGATGGACGGCAGTACCGGCATCGATAAAGGCGGTACAGCGCAGCACGTCAACTTTGCCCGTTTCCGGGTCAACCTGCACGTCGACGATGTTGCCCGCAAAGACGGGGCCAACGCCGGTTGACGTGGCAGAAGCGGATGCGGTCAGGGGCCCGCCGGTTCGCATCATGCGGCCAGCCACCTCGGCGATCGACATCCGGTCTTCCGAATTGCGGCTGCACGTGAACACGCCGTCTGCAAACACAACGTCTTCTTCCTGTACTTCCCACACCAGGGCGCAGCGCCGGGCCATCTGATCGCGCAGGTCCTCGGCGGCAGCGATCGCCGGCAGACCCGTATCGAAGGCAATGCGGCTGCCGCCGGTGGTTGCCGTCCAACCCACGGTGTCGGTATCCACCACGGTCGGGGCGATCTGATCGACCTCTATTCCCAGAGTTTCGGCAACCTGCATCGCCACCGCAGTGCGGGTTCCGCCAATGTCCACCGAGCCGGTTATGAGGTTCAGAGTGCCGTCGGCGTTCATGTTGATGGTCGCGGACGAAGCCTGACCGGCTTGCCAGCGGAAGCCCACCGCCACGCCGCGTCCCTGATTGGGTCCCGTAAGCGGAGTTTTGTTTTGATCGCAGTTGATCATGGCTTCTTCCATTTCCCGGCAACCAAACACACGGTGGGGAACGCCGTTGGGCATCCGGTCTCCCTCCTGCACCGCGTTTTGCAAACGCAGTTCGATGGGGTCTTTGCCCAGCAGGTCAGCCAGTTCGTCCACCACTGCTTCAACAGCGAATGCGGCCTGGGGCTGCCCGGGAGCACGGTAAGCCTGCACTTTCTGCTTGTTGCAAACGACGTCGAGGCCGTCCACCAGCATGTGGTCCATCTTGTACGGGCCGAAACCGGTCAGTGCGCCGCCGCCCACCGGAGAGCCCGGGTACGCGCCGGCTTCGTAAATCATGTAAATCTGACCGGCGACCATGCGTCCGTCGTTCTTGACGCCCATCTTGCAGCGCATAAAGGTCGCTGAAGTGGGGCCGCTGCCCTCAAAAACTTCCTTGCGATCCATGGATATTTTCACGGGACGTCCCGTCTTTTTGGACAGCACGGCGGCAACCGGGTCCAGATACGCGATGGCCTTGGCTCCGAAACCGCCGCCGATTTCCATCGGGACAACCTTTACCTGCGATTCGGGAATGCTCAATATGGCGGCGGTTTGCGCCCGGATGTTGAACAGACCCTGAGTGCTGGTCCAGACGGTAACGCGGCCGTCCGCCGACCACATGGCTGTGGATACGTGGGGCTCGATGTACCCCTGGTGTACCGTCTGGGTCTCGAACTCCCGCTCGATCACGATGTCAGAATCGGCAAAACCCTCTTCAACATCGCCAATCTTGTGCTGAATATGTCCGGCAACGTTGCTCTTGATTCCGGTGTCGTCACCGCGGGCAAACCGTTCCATTCGGAAGTAGGTTGTCATGTCGTCGTGCAGGAGGGTAGCGTTATCGGCCATTGCTTCGCGCCACGTGAGTACCGTGGGCAGCACTTCGTAGTCTACCTCCACCGCGGCCAGCGCCTGCTCGGCGATATGCGGGCTCACCGCGCACACGGCAGCAACCGCGTGGCCAACGTACAGCGCTTTGTCCTTGGCCAGCATGTTCTCTGCGATCATTCGGGCGTTGCCCTGAACTTCGGCAAAGTCGAGCACTCGGTCGGTTACGATGGGGAAGTCCGCCGAGGTGGCCACCGCAAGGACTCCGGGCAGCGCCTCGGCCTTGCTGGTGTCGATGCTTCGGATGCGGGCGTGGGAATGCGGGCTGCGGAGAACCTTTGCGTGCAGCATCCCGGGAAGGTTGATGTCGGCGCCGTAACGGGCCGCTCCGGTAACTTTGTCCACGCCGTCGTGGCGCACCGGTCGCGTTCCGATAACGCGGTATCCGGACGCTGGTTTGGTATTGGTTGTCATGGCTTTCCTCCGGCTTGGGGGCGTTGGCAGCAATAAGTCGATTGACTGATTAAACACACGTTATTCGAACGCTAACTTCGCATAACGTAGGGCATGAAATACTCGCGGGTTGCGTCTTCGGCCATACCCGGCATGGACGCGGGCACGATGCCGTCGCTTTCCAGGGCTGATTTCACAATACCCTTGTTGAACGGGCTGATGTCTCCGTCGGTCATGAAATCCTGTACGGGCATCCAGAGGCATTCTTCGATCTCTTTCTCACCCATCCGGATATCCGTGGTCAACGCCCGCAGCCGGCATACGAAGTAGATGTCCGACTTGCCGTAGCGGTATCCGTGCCAGTGCCTGAAACAGGTAAGCGCTTCGAATTCTGCTTCGACACCGGTTTCCTCCAGGACTTCGCGCACGATGGAATCTGCGATGTGTTCGCCGGGTTCCAGCGCTCCGCCGGGGAGCTTGTAAAACGGCGGACGGTTGTCGATGCGATACCTTTCGCACACCACCAGCAACTCTTGCCGGTCGTTCACCACCACTCCGCCAGCGCCGATGTAGTGGGTGGCGTAGTTGGGGATGTAAGAACCCGGTATCAACGACAGCGTGGCGGTGATGTAGTCGTTGCCGGCATGGTGATATATGAATCCGCGTTCGGTGGCGATGGGAACATGGCTCGCCAGCGCGATTGGAATGTCGACCCAGGCAACTTCGTATCCAGCGTTGCGCCATTCGGCCACGGAAACGTCCAGGCGGGCGGCGAAATCGTTGGGGTCGGTGGGCAGTTCAGCCGTGTTTACCACCACCCCGCGAAATGGATTGGGTGTAGCGGTAAGCGGAACGGCCAATGCGCACCTCCGAATCGTGTCGCCAGTACCGGGCTGGTACGTTTGGGATCAGCGCCCGGCAACATACCGTAGCAAATACCGTAGCAACTTGGCGAAGTATAGCACAACCGGGGCTCTGTTAAAGGGCGGTGCAGGCGAACCCGGCGAGTCTGATTCCGGAGCAACGCAACCCGGAGCAGGAGAAACTTCCAGCGCAGCACAGCCAGGCGCAACCGATGCGCCAGCCGATTCTTCGGCACCGGGAGCGACACCGACTCCCCTACCGGCTGCCCTACCTTCCGAGGTGCTGGCCAATCCCGTCACCAAAGACGTCTACCCCGAAGCCGTGCCGGGCGGAATTTTGCGGCGCGGTGGTTACTTTGACCCGGCGCACTATGATCTGATGCAGGTCTCCAGCGTTTCCAACTCATTCAAGCAGATGATGGTGTTGAACAATGTGCTGCGTTACAACCCGATCGACGCGGGCAAGACCATCATCCCCGATCTGGCCACCACCTGGGAGGTTTCGGAAGACGGCAAGGTTTGGACGTTCCCTCTGCGCGAAGGCGTCCAGTTCCACGATGGAACCACCATGAATGCTGATGATGTTGCCGCCTCCTGGTCTCGGGTTATCGACCCACCCAGCGGTGTGGTCAGCGCTCGCCAGGGTCTCTACACGCCCTTCGGGCCCAACATTACCGTGGTTGATCCGCTGACCGTGGAATTTACGTTCCAAAAGGCCCCGCCGCTGAACTACGGCCTTAACGCTTTTGCGCTGGAATGGCACGGTGTGTTTTCCAAAGCCTTTTTGGAGGCAAACAGCTACGATCTGAAACGTAACGGGAAAGACGCGCCCAGCACTGGGTCCTTCCGATTCCTGGAACATCAGAAGGCGAAGTCTGGAAGAACGAACGGTTCCCGGATTACTGGAACGAAGGATTACCCTACCTCGACGAAGTTTGGACGTACCCTCTTGCCTCCAGCACCAACCGTTCCGCAGCTTTGTTGGCTGGCAACGTAGATTACGCTCAAACCATTGACCCGGCCGCCTACGAGATTCTGTCGAACGACGAAACATTCGAAGTTCAACCCCTCTCGTCGTATTCTTACCTGGCCGTCTGGTTCAACATGGACCGCGAGCCCTGGAATGACCCCAAGGTACGCAAGGCCATGTGGCTCGCCCTCGACCGTGACGCTGTCGCCGAGGTGGTTAGCGAGTGGCTTTATGGTTACATGAGGAGGCACCGGTTGGACTTTCCAGGATCAAGCGTTCCAGCTACCTCAGGAAGATATTGACGGCCGGATGGTCTTCGACCGGGAGGCAGCCGAGGCTGAGGCCAAGCGCCTGTTTGCCGAGGCCGGCTACGCCGACGGCATCAAGAATGTTGACTTTATGCAACGCGACCCCAACAACCCACACTTTACGGCCGCCACGCAAGTTGCCCAGTGTATTAGTTCAGATAGAGGTGAGACGAAAGGGTTGCCAAAATAAAGAGGAGGGACCAGCCTTTTGGGTGAAACCAAACAACCGAAAGGAGGCCCTTCTCATGCGGATAGGTTCTACCCTACCCCAAGTCATTTTACAACGTGCCGCGTCCGAGGTCAGCCCTGGTGCGGGAACGGCTGCGGTGCGTGGCCATTTGGGAGACCCTGCTACGGCAGGGGATGACCACCGGAGCAGCCAGCCAGGCAGTGGGAGTGTCGAGAGCCACGCTGTATCGCTGGCGGAAGCGACTGGAGACGCAAGGGCTGGCCGATGTTCTCGTTCGCGGAGGCCGACCCGCAACCAATGGTTGGTTGCGAATTATCACCAATTTTTTGCCGGCGGAATCCGATGGGCGCCATCATCGGCGTGATCATCATCGCGATCGTACTCATCGCGATCTTCGCCCCCTTGGTGGCCACGCACCATCCGACTCTGGATGCCGATTTTAAGGCCCTTCGTGAACCGCCCAGTTCGGCGCATTGGGTGGGAACCGATAACATCGGGCGGGATTTGTATAGCCGCGTTGTCCACGGTTCCCGTATATCATTGTTTGTAGCCCTGATTGCCGTGATGGTGGGCGACCTGTTTGGAGCGGTGTGGGGTGTGGCAACCGGTTATATCGGCGGAAAATTCGATACCTACAGTCAGAGAGTCCTTGAACTGATGATGTCCTTCCCCACGCTGATTTTGGCTATGATTCTGGTGCTGGTCATGGGCGCCGGCGTCTGGACGGTTATCGTCGCCATCGGTTTTACGCGCGTCCCGCTATCCGTGCGCGTGATCCGATCCGTCACCCTCAGCGTCAAGGAGAACGCGTATGTGGATGCGGCTCAGGCCATCGGGGCATCTGGTAGTCGCGTTATGCTGAATCACATTGCCCCTCAATGCGTCGCTCCGTGGCTGGTACTGGCGACCGCCCACCTGGGTTCGGTCATCATTCTGGAGGCTTCGTTGGGGTTCCTGGGCGTGGGCGTGCCGTTGCCCACTGCCACGTGGGGCAACATGCTTGGTGGCACGGTGGCGGGCGGGTTAGTTCCCCATTGGTGGATGGTGATTTTCCCCGGTTTGGCAATAACCATAACCGTGCTGGCGTTCAACCTCTTTGGCGACTCGATTCGGGACGCCCTGGATCCCAAGTTGCGCGGGCGCACCTAGTCCCGGGCGTCAGACCCATATTTTGCCCAATCTGGGGGATTTCAGTATCGGTCGTTGGTCGCTGCTCAGTTACCGGTTTTGGCTGGTAGTGCTGGGGTTGGTGTTAATCCTGTTCGGGTTCCTTTTCTACAGGGCCTACTAGGTTGGGCCGCTGCTGCGACGTCCTCCCGCTCCGTCATCCAGCGTGTCGTCCAGCGCTCCGGAAGGGAACTGGCCCACCGGACGCGCTGATTTGGGAGCATCGGGATCGATCCGCGAGAACGGGCCGGCGCCACCTTGGTCTGTCGTCTGGGACTTTCAGGCTCCAGGCAAGATTTTGGGCACGCCGGCCGTGGTTGGAAACCGGGTTTACGTTACAACCGAGGAGGGCATCGCACTGGCTCTGGACAAAGACACCAGCGAAGTGTTGTGGACCTTCGTTATCGGGTCGCCGTCCGACAGCGCTCCGGCCGTAACCGAGTCGGCCGTTTATTTCGGGTCGCGCAACCACCGGGTTCTGGCGGTGCACAAGGACACTGGCCAGCTGCTGTGGGAGCATAACCTCGGCAACATAGTTCTCGGGTCTCCAATTGTCGTTGATGGGACGTTGTACATCGGTTCGACCAACGGGAAACTGGTAGCCCTGGACGCTGTCACCGGGGAACCGCGCTGGTCGGTGGGAGCCGACGGATGGGTTGTTGGGCATCCCGCTGCCGATGCGCAGGTTGTAGCCGCTGCTTCTCTGGGTGAACGATTCATCACCGTTGATCCCGAATCGGGCCGCCGACTGCTAAAATTTTTACCGGCACGCCGGTCGCGGGCGGACCCGTCATCGCCAATGGCCTGGCTTACTTCGTGACCAATCGAGGCGGCGTATGGGCGGTCGATCCTTACGCGGTGAGCCGCCCGTTCAGTCGTTTAGCATACGTGGCCAACGTCAATTTCTTCGCCTGGCGGTTGCGCGACGACGCCCCGGTCCAGGTCGGCCCGTGTGGGGGGGTTACGCGCGGGGCCGCGTGGCCCACAGTCCTGCTTTCGCCAACGGCGATCTGGTGGTGGTTAACGAAACCGGTCACATAACCTCTTTTGACGGCCTCACTGGATTGGTGCGCTGGGAGCACGAGATGGAACGGGATGTGATTACCGAACACGTGGCAGCGGGCAATCAGATTATTATAGCGACCAACGACCGCCGGTTGTTCGCCTTCAATTCGGACACCGGCGCCGTGGCCTGGGAGTATGATCTGGTCAACACCAACCTGTCCACCGCGCCCGCGATTGCCGGCGGTGTTCTCTACCTGCCAACACATGACGGTCGGCTGTTGGCCCTGCGCGAACAAAACCCCTGATGTTGACGGGTTTTGTGGCCCAACCTATACTCGCGGCAACTATTCTAAATCTGTGCAAGCAGGCCAACTTAACGATGACCCAAGCGACGCCCCACCAACGAGATATCGCCGGAGAATCCTGGGACCCTGGACAATATCTCAAGTTTGCCGACCACCGAATTCGCCCCGCGCTGGACCTGATGGGGCGCATCCCCCTGGAAGATCCCGGCGTAATCTATGACCTGGGTTGCGGCAGCGGCAACGTCGCCCGCGTGCTGGCTGACCGTTGGCCAGCCTCCAGCGTGGTTGGCGTGGACAATTCTCCCGAAATGTTGGCCGAGGCTGCCGAAACTCCGTCTCGCGTGATGTGGGAAAACGGCGACCTTGCCGATTGGCAGCCGGGATCGCCTCCTTCGATTCTTTACTCCAACGCCGTTATTCAGTGGGTGCCCGACCATGAGGAGTTGATTCCTCGTCTATGGTCCATGCTACCCGCCGGAGGATGCCTGGCGGTGCAGGCCCCAATGAGTTGGGATATGCCATCCCATAACATTATGCGTGAAACGTTGTCCAGCGGTGGCAAAGGCGGCGGGCCGATCGGCAGCGCCGAGTTACGGGAGGCGGTTGGCAATCGTTGGGTTCAGGATCCCGATTTTTACTACGACCTGCTGGCTCCCCAAGCCGCTCACCTGGATGTGTGGACCACGGAGTATCAACACGTGATCGCCGGCGACGACGCAGTCCTGGAGTGGGTAACCGGCACTGGCCTGCGCCCGATCCTCAATGGTTTGAACGACGCCGATCGGGAGATATATCGGGAAGAATACCGACAGCGGCTGAACCGAGAATATCCCAGGCGACCCGACGGTGTTACGCTTTATCCGTTTCGCCGTCTGTTCTTCGTGGCCGTGCGCCGTTAGACGACATAACGTCCCTGGTGACCACGACACCGCAAAAGTTGTCATCGACAGAAAGGATGATCTCGGGCGAGTTCCGGTGCCCGGATCGTTCGTCATAAAAGTGGTAAATTCCCCGCAATAGAGGTGCAAAATGACGGTTCTAGTATTGGGCGGCGCTGGTTTCATCGGCCCGCGGGTCATCCGAAAATTGGTTGAACGGGGGGAAGAGGTTTATGCCACCGACATTAACCCCCTGCCAGACATTCCCGGCGTTGAGCGCGACGCCATCCGCAGCGCCCGGATTGACATTACCGACTTCGAACAGGTGACGCGCGCCATTGTGGAATCCGAACCCGACCGCATCATCAATCTGGCCTACCTCCTCGGCGGCGGAGAGGGCAACCCGCACCACCAGATGCGCCTGAACATTCTGGGAATGGATAACTGTTTCGAAGCGGCGCGTCTGCTGGGCGTCAACCGGGTGGTCTACGCCAGCTCGGTGGCGGTCAGCGGCCAGCAGGCCAACTTCGGCGACCGCCTGGCCACCGAAGACGACGGCACCTTCGGCACCAGCCAGTATGCCGTCCACAAGATATTCAACGAATTCCAGGCCAAGATGTTCAACGACAACTACGATATGTCCGTTACCGGCATCCGGCCGGCCAACGTTACCGGCCCCGACAAGGTGCGCGGCTCCACCGATCACGTACGTTGTGTAACGCTGCCATCCCGGGGCGAACCGGTCAGTTTTCCCTATCAGGAGATGATGCGCCTTCCCATCCATGTGGAAGACATCGCCGAGGCCTTCGTTCGTGTGTCCCTGGTGGACCGCAGCGAATATCCGGTCTACAACTCTGGTGGTACGGCCATCAGCCTGGGAGATCTGGCTGAAATGGTGCGCGGCTACCTGCCCGACGCGCAAATTGCGTTCGACGATCCGGGCGGCCGGGAGCACTCCGGCAACTACCTGGTGGACAACAGTCGTCTTCTCAACGAGTTCGAATTGACGTACGCCCCGTTGTCGCAGCGTGTTCTGGAAATCATCAACGACGTTCGCGCGGATGAAGGACTACCCCTCATCTCGTCCTGATACATCCCCGGCTTGCCGCCATCCACCATCGCTCATATAATGCGGCTATAGCGGTACATCAGCGGCGTGCTTCGTTATGATTGCTCGCCGAAGAATGACCACAGGGCTCGCACGGAGGAGGTTTCCCAATGGCGTTACCTGATCGCATGAAATTTGGCATATTTATGGGTCCGTTTCACCGGGCCGGCGAAAATCCCACACTGGCTCTCGAACGCGACCTGGAACTGGTGCAGTGGCTGGACTACCTGGGCTTCGATGAGGCCTGGATTGGCGAGCATCACAGCGCCGGTTGGGAAATCATCTCCTCACCAGAAATCTTTATCGGTGTCGCCGCCGACCGCACCAAGCACATCAAGCTGGGCACCGGCGTTGTCAGCCTCCCCTACCATCATCCTTTCATGGTGGCCAATTGGATGACCCAGCTCGACCACATGACTCGCGGCCGCGTGATGCTGGGTGTTGGCCCGGGCGCTCTCCCCGGTGATGCCTACATGATGGGCATCGACCCCTCTAAACAGCGCATCCGGATGGACGAATCCCTTGGCGTGATAATGCGCCTCTTCAAAGAGAAGGAGCCCATTACCCACCACAGCGACTGGTTTGAGTTGCAGGAAGCCATGCTTCAGCTTCGGCCCTACCAGACCCCGCACATGCCCATTTCCGTGGCCTCCGTGCAAACCCCCTCGGGCGTGGCGCTGGCTGGCAAGCACGGAGCATCCGTGCTGACCATCACCACCCCGCGCGACCCCGCCGCTGCCTCCGGCACCGACCTCAAGGAGCTTTGGGACATTTGCGAAGAATCAGCCGCCGAGCACAACCAGGTGGTTGATCGCTTTGACTGGCGCCTGGTGCTCCCGGTCCATCTGGCCGACACTCGTGAAGAAGCATTTGAGCAGGCCCGCATCGGCGCCGGCCGTTACCAGCGTGAATACTTCGAGCACACCATGGGCCGTCCGCAGGTCGTGGATGGTCCCCCCGAAAAGATCATCGATGTGCTGGCCGAACGCGGCGCTTGGATCATCGGCACGCCCGATGACTGCATCGAAGGCATCAAGCGTCTTGAAGAGCGTAGCGGCGGTTTCGGAGCATTCATGGTGCAAACCGTGGACTGGGCTTCACGCGAGCACATGATGCACAGCTACGAACTGATCGCCCGCCACGTTATGCCCCACTTCCAGGGTTCGGCCGATGCTGCCAAGGCCTCCAACCAGTGGGCATACGAGCACAACGAGACCCTGATGGCTGGACGCACCCGTGCCCTGGACCGTGCGCGCGAGGATTACGCAGCCCGCAGTGCATAGCCATCCGCAACCATCTCACGGCCGCCGCCGACCCATAATCCTGGTGTCGCACGGCGGCCCATTGTTATCTGCTACCGTGCCAAAGGAGCCCTGACATGCCACTGCACCCACAAGCCCAACAGGTTATCGACGCCACGCGCGCGCTGGGGTTGCCGCCGAATCACACCGTATCTCCCGCGGAGGCCCGGGCAAACGCCGCGCAGCGATTGCGGAGCCCCGGCCCGGACGTCGCCAAGGTTGAAGACCAATCCGTCCCCGGCCCGGCTACGAACGTTCCGGTGCGCATTTACACACCCGACGGCAACGGCCCGTTTCCCATCCTAGTCTGGTACCACGGTGGTGGTTGGGTAGTGGGAGACCTTGATTCAGCCGATGGCGCGGCGCGGCACCTTTGCGCCAGCTCCGGTAACGTTGTCGTGTCGGTGGATTACCGCCTGTCTCCCGAGGCCAAATTCCCTGAACCTTTCGATGACTGCTACGCCGCCACCCTGTGGGCCAGCGAAAACGCGGAATCTCTGGGCGGTGTGAAGGGAGTTGTATCAGTCGGGGGAGATAGCGCCGGCGGCAATCTGGCCGCTGCCGTCGCGATCAAGGCGGCCGAAACGGGCGACGTTCGTGTCAGTCACCAGTTGTTGGTGTACCCGGTAACGGACCGTGATTTCGGCACTGGCTCTTACGCCGACAACGGCACCGGTTACAACCTGGAACGCGAAGGTATGATGTGGTACTGGGACGCCTACCTGGCCGACCCAGCGGACGCGGCGGATCCGTTGGCGGCTCCCCTGCGATTGCCAGCTGATTTCGCCGCTGCCAAAGACCTGGCGAAAGCCTTTACCATCACTGCGGAATACGATCCGCTCCGCGACGAGGGCGAAGCGTACGCGCGCCACCTGCAGCAGATGGGTGTTCCATCCAGCGGTCGACGCTACGACGGTATGATTCACGGTTTCTTCGGCCTGGCCAGCAACATGGATACAGCTCGCGTAGCCATGGATGACGCCGGCGCGTTCCTGCGCGGCGCAGTCGATGACGTGGTGGCGGAGTATCATGCTCAACACCAGGGGGACACCGGCGCAATGCGTCAGCTGTTAGACCCGCAGGCTCGCAACGTGCTGGAAATCTTTGATTCGCTGGATATCAAGCCATTCCAGGAGATGAGCGTCGAGGAATGCCGTGAAGTGATGGACAACCGGCCCCGGCCGCAGGGCCCGGCGGTTGGCCAGGTCGAAGACCGCGTTATCCAGAATTTGTACGGCAAAGAGCCGGGCGACGTTCCCATCCGCATATACACGCCGGATACCCAGGGACCCTGGGGCATTCTGATGTGGTTTCACGGCGGCGGCTGGGTTATCGGCAACATCGAAACCGCCGACGCCACCGCGCGGGAGCTATGCGTTGGCGCCGACTGCGTTGTCATTTCGGTGGACTACCGCCTGGCCCCCGAGTACAAAATTCCCCACGCCGTTCGAGGACTGCCTCACCGCCACGATTTGGGCAACCTACAACGCCGAATCGCTGGGTGGTCGACCCAACGCCGTCGCCGTGGGTGGTGACAGCGCCGGCGGCAACCTGGCTGCGGCAATAGCCCTGTCCCACGAAGACTTCGAGACGCCGCCGGTGTATCAACTTCTCGTGTATCCCGCCACCGACGCCGCCTACAGTGGACGATCCTACACGGTGAACGGGTCGGGCATGTTCCTGGAAACGGAGAGTATGCGCTGGTTCTGGGACCATTATCTGGATCGCGCTGAACTCTCGGCGTACAACATCTTCGTTTCCCCGTTGCGGGCCCGGCTCACCCCTGATCTGGCGCCGGCCCTGGTGATTACCGCTGAGTTCGACCCCCTGCGCGACGAAGGGGAGGCCTATGCCGCAGCCCTTCGGGATGCGGGTGTACCCACCGTGCAAAAGCGGTTCGATGGCGTGATTCACGGCTTCTTCGGAATGCCTCACGTAATAGATAAGGGACGGCAGGCGCTGGAACTATCCTGCGCCGAACTACGTTCCGTGTTCGGCAGCATACTGCAACACGAGGCGGCAGCAGTGGCCGCCGACAATTGATCCTATAATTCACCCCACGTACACGGGCACGAGCAGCCCCGGCTGTAAAGGAATAACAAAATGGCGGAGACTATCCAGGAACAATACATCCGAATGAACCCCCGGTCCCGGGGCCTGCAACCCAACTTTCAGGCTCGTTTCCCTTCGGGTAGCCCGGGACACGATGGGTACACGTCAGACCCGTTCCCGGTCATCGTTGCTCGGGGCAGCGGGCCGCGCAAATGGGACATCGACGGTAACGAGTATGTGGATTACGGCATGGGATCGGCAGCACTGCTGCTGGGTCATGCTCACCCCGAGGTAGTCAGCGCATTATCGGCGGTGCTTGCCGACGGTTCCCACTTTGGCGCTCCCACCGAGCCCATGCTGGAATGGGGAGAACGGGTTTGCACGCTGATGCCGTGCGCTGACAAAGTCCGTTTCGTCGGCTCTGGCGCAGAGGCTACGATGCTCGCCATGCGCGTCGCTCGGGGATACACCGGGAAAGAAAAAATCATCCGGTGGGAATCCCACTACCACGGATGGCACGACTACGTAATGCCCGGCAACCTGCCGCCCTTCGATGTGCCGGCTTCCATTGGCATCCCTCAAGGTACGATCGACTCGATTATCGTGCTGCCCACCGACCTCACCGCGCTGGAGAATGTTCTGGCGAATGACGACAACATTGCCGGCGTAATCACCGAGGCATCTGGAGCATCCTACGGAACGGTGCCGTTGCCCGATGGATTCCTGGAAGGCGTGCGCCGTCTGACCCGCGAAACACGGCGTGGTGATGATCATGGACGAGGTTATCACCGGTTTCCGGTGGGCGCCCGGTGGCGCTCAGGAGCGCCTGGGTGTAGAACCCGACCTCTGTACGATGGCCAAAATTCTTACTGGGGGCCTACCCGGCGGAGCCGTTGCCGGCCGTGATGAATTTATGGCCGTAATGCACCAGACCGGCGACAGTCAACACGATCGCTACGAGCGTGTGTTGCACGGTGGGACGTTCAACGCCAACCCCTATGCCGCGGCTGCCGGCAACGCCGCCCTGCGGCTGGTGGCAACTGGCGAATACATCGCCCAGGCCGATCTGATGGCCGATCGCTTGCGCGTTGGCTTGCGGGAAGTTGTGGAACGCCGTGAGGTCAATGCCACCGTGTACGGGGAATCATCGACCTTCCACCTGTTTTTTGGCTCCAGCAGCATCGACGGGCTCGATGCCTCGCGCCTGAAGAACCAGCCCGTGGCGATCCAGCGCAGCCTGCGTCAAGCCCTGCAAGTCCGTGGCGTCGACCTGATGTCCCGCACCAGCGGGGTGCTGTCAGGCACTCACACCGAAACCGACATCGACTTCACCATCGGAGCATTCGACGGCGCCATCGCCGCCATGATGGAAGAAGGACTAATTCAGCACAGCTAAGATTGCGTCTGAATACCGGATGATCCTGATGGGCTTCCACCCGGCTGGGTGGAAGCTCTTTTTTACACCCCGACTTCGTCGCCTACGCGCACGGCGCCCGGTTTTTCCACCAGGCCGTACACGCCAAAATATGCCGCCGACGGGTTGGGTCGGTAGCCCAGGATCGACTTGACGACATCGGTGTCCGTCTCGCCGGTGTCTGGTTCCTGATCGACGATGGCGCAGCGGGGGTCGGGTGCAAGGATTCTCACGACCGCATCGCCGATGTTGATCGGTCGATTCATCCAGCCGTCTTCCTGGTGGGGCTCGCAACCGTCCAGCAGGAGGGTGGGGCGAAACCGGTCGGTGGCCAGGCACTCGTCCTCGGACATTCCCATTTCAGACGACAACCGCTCCACCGATGCACGACCGAGCACCGACACCGGAAACTCGTCGAACACCTGGCACGGCAGGTCAGACATCATCAACACAACGGGTTGTTCACAAAACTCACTCAATGCCTGCATCCAGTCGCCTGTCAGCGAACGCCCGCGCACCCGGCGGCCCCAAACGATCGTCCACACCGGACGGTCCAACTCCGGTTGGCCTTCCAGCGTCGTACCATCCGGAAACCGGATGCTCAACCGTTCTTCCGCCGCGTCCCATGCCGCCGTCAGTTGCGCCAGCTTTCCCACCTGGCGCCGCGTTAGCAGCCGGCCATGACCGTTCACCAGGTAGAACCGCCGGTCGTCGCGGATGCCACCCAAATCGAGCACAACTTCATCCAGTCCCACCAGCCCCATGGACTTGACCGGGGCAATGTTAATCTCGGCAACGGTAATCACTATGTCTTCTCCAGAACATGGGTTGCCTCTTCCTTGATGGGAGAGGGTTGGAGCCTGCCCCGTACTTGATACGGGGGTGAGGGTGAAAGCATCATACTCTTACGTCTATGGGAAAAGGTTGGGGTGTTGAGGCTTGTCATTGCGAGCGTAGCGTGGCAACCCAGATGAGGCGACGCAATGAGAGGTCAGGCAATTGGCTCTTCTGGGAGAGGGATGGTCTGATGGTTGCGTTCACTCCCAGCTCAAAAATTCCTGGACCAGCTTACGGGCGGGATCGCGATCGTATATCTGATACAGGAGTGCAGCGTTGCGGGCCGAGTCTCCGCCGAAATATCGTTCGTACAGGGTTTGCCGACCGCCGAACGCACTGCAGGACACATCCCAAGCCAGGCGGAATAAACGGATGCGTTCCTCTGCCGTCGCCGTATCCGTGTCCATATACCGTTCGATTTCATCGGCCAGCGGCCCGCTCAGGTCGGCCTCGGCAGGTAGCGCCATCAGGCTGCTGGAGCCCAGCAGGTGAAGTATCTCTGCCATCCGTGGGTACATGGTAATCATCTGTTTGCGAGCCACCAGCAACGGTCGGTAGTCGGGACAGAATATCCCCCACTCGTCGGTGGACGCCTGCGCCTCTGATGCCGCCAGCAGCGCCCTGTAATCTCCAGGTTATCAATCACTTCGGCGATGAGATGCTGGGTTTGCGGCAGTTCGCCAGAACCCAGAATGTCGGCCATCAACGACACCAGACCCAGGACGAACTCGCACTTCACTACGTTTTTGGTAACCACTTGGTGGCCGGTGTGAGCGTTGCGATTGGTGCGCTCGCCCCACTGGTTGCACAACGCGACGTCGTTGTACAGGAACACGCGCTCCCAGGGCACCAGCACATCGTCGAAAAATACGATTGCGTCCATCTCCTCGAACCTGCTGCTGGCGGGATGATCGAAATGCGAACGGCCGGTGTCGAAGGTGTCGCGGCACTGGAACTTCAGGCCATCCATGTTGCACGGAATGGCAAACCCGAAGGCGTACTTGCCTTCCTCGCCAACTGGCACTCGCCGGGTCCGCGCCGGATACACCGCAATCTCATCGGACAGCGGCCCCAGGGTTGCCAGCACCCGCGCCCCGCGCACCACGATGCCATCCTGGTTCTCATCAACCACCGATAGGGCCACGTCGGTGCGGTCGTCGAACGGAGTGTTGCCCACCGACCGGCTCCGTTGCAGGTTCACCAGAGTATGTGTCATCACGATGTCGTTTTCCCGGATGAACTCGTAATAGTTCAGGATGTTCTGCCCGAACTCCGGACGGTTCCGAGCGCAGAAGTCGGCGCCAGCGGCCATCGACATCACTGCCACGTTGAGAAAATCGGGTGTGCGACCCATCATGCCGCAGGAGCCTTTCGCCCAATTGGTGATCATCTTGCGGCGGCGTTTCAGATCATCGGCGTTGCGCGGCATGATGAACGACAAGCCGACCGGATCTCCGGTTGTGGGCGACGTGTAGGTCATATCATCGCGCAGCGCTGGATCGTGTTGCATGTCCAGCAAGCTGGCTACGGTGTGCAAGCCGCCGGCAAAGGCAGGGTGGGCCGTTACATCCTTCACCCGTTCACCGCTGATATAAACTTCCGCCGAACGTTCCCTGATCCCGGCAATATATTCTGCTCCCGTTCGTGCAGGCATTTTTGGACCTCTTTGTGATCACGTCATTGCGAGCGCAGCGTGGCAATCTCGTGAGGGATAAGGACGCCTCGAACTCTACGGGATTGCCAGTCGCTACGCTCCTCGCAATGACAACCCATCAAGACCGAGCCCTCAGGTTTGATACTGGCGCAAGGTTATGGTATATCAGCGAAAACCGCAAACGGGGAGGTACACTATGCCCACCATCCAGCGCACCCATGCCCAACTGCACTATTACCTCGACGACTTCACCGATCCCTGGCGTTCTTCACCCGGCGCTGTGGTGTTGCAGCACGGTTTCTCCCGCAGCGGCAACTTCTGGTACAACTGGCCGCCCCTGCTCAGCCGCGAGTACCGCGTGATCCGCCCCGACCTGCGCGGCATGGGCCGGTCCACCGCCGACCCGGAGCGCTACGAGCCTACCCTGGACGTCCTGATGGCCGATCTGCTGGCCATTTTGGATCAGGAAGGAGTCGACAAGGCGGTGTTCGTTGGCGAGTCCTTCGGCGGAATCATGGGAATGCAGTTCGCCCACGACCACCCCGACCGGTGCCAGGCCCTGGTGCTGTGCAATTCGCCGTGTCGCCTGAGCCGGCGAGAGAGCGCTACACCCGAAGGCAGCTGGCTGGCGACCATGGAACAGGGTGGTATCGGGGCCTGGTCGGCGGCCACCATCAACTTCCGCCTTGATATGCGGCACGCGCCCGAAGAGTTGAAAGACTGGTACATCGCCGAGATGGATAAAACCCCGGGCGAAATCGGCCAGACCCTGCACGGCTATCTCGACAGCCTTGATTTCGGGCCGCACCTGAAAGACATCACGGTGCCGACCCTGTTGCTCACCGGGGACGAATCTCCCACCACGAGCATGGAGCAGCAGCACTTCATGGGCTGACGAAATCCCCAACAGCCAGCTGACTATCTACCCGGGCCTGGGTCATGGCATAAACGCCATTTACCCGGAGTGGTGCGTGGACCGGATGCGGGAATTTTTGGGACGAAACGCGTAATCACCGCACCGCCGGGATCCAGTATCTGCTTCCCGGCGTCTAATCCCGGATCAGTCCCAAACGCACCAAATCGGCTCGGTTCCAATGGGCTTGAGTTTCAATGATGGCGCGTAACGTCGGAGTTTTGAAAGCATCACCGCCCCTAACTGCAACCGTTACAACCCTGCCAGTCTCGCCGTCCCGAAACCTGCGATGGCTGCCCCGCTGACGTACGAATTGGAAGCCATCTCGAAGGAGTGCGTTTTCGATTTGTCTACCAGTGAGAGACCTCAGCCGGCTATAGTCTATCGGCATGCCGGTTTTAGTCAGCGATCACCAATCGATATCGACGGGCACACCGATTATTTTGATGTTGTCGTCGCTTGCCAACACCAAGGGATCATCGGCTAAGGGCAAACCCCCGCGGGCAGCGATCTTATCCCAGGACAATTCCCCGCGTATGACCTCCTCTAGGATCATGGCGAGTACTTCTTTAATATTATGAACGGCCTCTGCCTCGGAATATCCAAACGTCGCCGCGCCTAGATCTTCCCAAGGCGCATAAACCACATGGTATGTATCTTCCGATTCTTCGAGCGTTATTTTGAACTCCAATCTCGGTTCAACCGTGATCAGGGGACGCGGACCGGGGTCGAGCTGGATCTCCCCTGGAGCGGCAAGATTCAATCGGATCGCACGGACAAAATCTCCGATCGCACCGTCGTATTCTCCGCGCTCTTCTTTTGCTAGGCCCCTCAAACAGTAAACCTGAGCGTTATTTCGGTCTAACTTTAACAATTGGTTATAGTCTGCGATGGCCAATGCGTGCTGGCCTTGAATCGCGTAACAAACGCCGCGACTACGATAAGGTTCTGGAAATTCATCGTTTAGTTCAATGGCACGGTGGAAATCTTTGAGTGCGGAGTCATAGTCACCTAACCTGACCAGGGCATTACCACGATTGTAATAAGCCGCATAATAGGCATGATTAAGCGTTACGGCTCGACTGAAATCAACTATAGCTCGTTCGTCATTACCCGTGCGCCGCCATGCGTTACCCCGGTTAAAGTAAGCAACTGCTATCCCGTTATCCAATTTGATGGCCTGATCGAAATCGGAAATGGCGCCTTGATAATTTGCTAAGGAGCTAAACGAATTGCCTCTATTGATATGAGTCACGACATCGCTTGGATCAAGTTCCAACGCCAGGTTGTAATCTGCGATTGCTCCCGCGTAATCACGGTTCTGATGGCGAGCAAAACCACGGATGCGGTACCCCTCGGGCGTAGCTGTATCCAGCTGGATAGCTCTTTCGCCGTCCGCCATCGCGCGTTCGTTCTCTCCCACTCGAGAGAGCAGATTCCCGCGGTTTCGGTACGCTTCGACGAAATCTGGCGCTAGTTCGATAGCCCGATCATAGTCTGCAATCGCCCGGTAATAATCGCCTTGCTCAGCCCGCAAGTTACCCCGGTTGAAATATAGGGTCGGATCGCGGGGATCTAACGCGATGGCGTCCGCCAATTTTGTAAAGGCGTTGCTAACATCGAAAGGCACGGCGCCCGCCACGGCAATCATGCGTGGACTTCCCGACAACTGATCATCGATTGGGTTAGGCCAACCATGGATCGGGTCCGAACCTCTGTCGTCCAACATGAGCCCATCCGGTTTGAACCCGAACTGGGTGGAGGTGCTAACGTTAATCATCTCGTGAACCCGTAAAGATCGTTATGATTTGGTATCACTGACTCATCGATACAGAAAACTTACAGGTGGATTACCCGCCTATCCCCAGTTCGGCCTGCATGTCGGCCACGGCTCGGTTGCGAGTCTTGCGCTGCCATTGCGGTCGGTTGTTGATGGGCTCATTGATGATTTCGGGGTCTATTTTCAGCGCCACGAACACCGGGCCCGGCTGGCTCATGATCTCGTCGATCTGATTCGCAAAATCTTCCAGGTTGTTGATGGAGTAGGTGACCGGATAACCGCATCCCTGGGCTACCACGTGGTACTCCATTACGTCGGCGTTGGGCACCGGCTGGCCGCCCGTCGTTGCGTACACTCCATTGTCCAGCATGAAGTGATACAGGTTCTTCGGAGCCTTCTCCGCGATGGTGGGTAACGCGCCCATTCCCATCAAAACATCGCCTTCCGAGTCAAACAGGACCACCCGTTCGTTTGGCAACGCCAGCGCCAAACCCAGCGCAAAAGATGCGTGTCCGCCCATCGCCGGGTCGCCCAGGGGCAGGTCGCGGTCAGGCTTATCGCTCAGTTCGACCCAATAGCGGCCGCCCCGACCGGGAATGACGACGGCGTCGCCGCGCACCTTGTTGAAAACTTCCAGCATTTCTGCGGTTTTCATCATATCGATCACTTCCTTTCGTTCACTTCCTTGCTGTATCCCCTCACGCGCTGGGAGAGGGTTGAGGTGCTGGCCGAACCACGCCGTCATCGCGAGAGGCTAAACGGCGTGGCGAACGCCAGTCACCGGCTTACGTTGAAACCGTGGTACTCGTCGCCCACAAGTACCGCCACCGGGCGTTTCTCCCGGGCGGCCTCGGCAAAGGCGACCGAAATACGGTCTGCGTCCTCGTCCGATTCCACCAGGTAGTAGTTGATATTGAAGGCGTGGAGGAATCGTTCAGTGTAAAACGCGGCGGTATCGGTGATTATGCCGTGGCGCGTCCAGCCGCGGTAGCCCACCATCATCACCACCGGCGTGTTCATGCCCAGACCCCAACCCCGCAGCGAATCGCCCGACTCCATCATGCCGGTGTTCTGGATCAGGATAACCGGTTTGGCGCCGCCGGCAGCCAGCCCGGCCGCGGTGGAAAAAGCGTGGCCTTCCCGGCTCACCGGTACCAGGTCCATCGTTGGGTCGTCGCGCATCAGGACATAGAGAAAGTTGGTCTCGCTGTCAGGGAGCCACACCACGTGCGTAGCGCCGTTTTTCTTCAATTCTTCCAGCACGCGGGCGGGACTCAATTCTGCCATCGTTGGTTTCCTCCTCGATTTAGCGGCACCTGCCAATTGCTAATGCCTGCCACAGATATACTGGTTACCCACCCGCCCGTCAACCGGGAGTTGCGCGCATAATCGCCGGCGATCCCGAAGCGCCCACTCCGGTTAATTTGGCGGTACTCGCGATCCAAAGAGTGCCAGGCGCTCTGAAAACCAGCAGACGACCACCGTTTGGGTCGCAAACTCCCTCGCGAACGCCGGCTTGCCCTGGTAAAACGTCACGATCAGACCCATCACCCCGCTGTGAACGGCCAAACTGCGAGCCGTCTCCTGTCCTATGCTATACTCACGCCTAACTCGATCTCCCGAAGGTACGCGACGACGAGGTGTTGTCATGCAGTGGGCTTCCGCGCTATCGCAACAAATCACTTTGCGGCAGGCACTCGAAGAGTGCGCCGCATCCATACGGGCGACAATGGGGGACACCGCCGCCGACCTTGCGGTAGTGTTCGCATCGTCCGAATATGCGTCAGACTACGCCGACCTGCCCTCCATGGTTCGCGAGCTGCTGGGTCCACAGGTTCTCGTGTTGGGCTGCTCCGGCGGCGGTATCATCGGCGGCGGCACCGAAATAGAGCAGGAACCAGCGGTGTCTATGACCGCGGCCAGCCTGCCCGGTGTCAACATAAAACCCATTCGCCTCGAGGGCGACGGTCTCCCCGACATGGACGCACCGCCCGACAATTGGCACGAAGCGCTGGGAGTCACCCCCGACGAGGAGCCTCAGTTCGTTCTCCTGGTCGATCCGATGTCATTTCCCGCGCAAAACCTGTTGTTGGGTATGGATTATGCCTTTCCCGCCGCCGCGAAAATCGGCGGACTGGCCAGCGCCGGCCAGGGTGCACGACAGAACGGCCTTTTCCTTGGTCAGGATTATCACGACTCCGGCGCCATTGGCGTTGCCTTGTCCGGTAACATCGTCGTAGAGACAGTGGTTGCACAGGGTTGCCGCCCCATCGGTAATCCGATGCGGATCACCAAGAGCGACCGTAATTTCCTGGTTGAGCTGGATGAGCAACAGCCCCTGAACGTGCTGCGAAGTATCTTCGAGCAGGCTGACCAGAGGGATCGCGACCTGATGCAGAACTCGCTGTTTCTTGGTGTGGTCATGGATGCTCTAATCGATGAACCTCAGCAGGGCGATTTCCTGATCCGCAACGTGATGGGCATGGATCAACGCAGCGGCGTTCTCGCGATTGGCGAAATGCTCAAAGAGGGCCAGCTGGTTCAGTTCCACCTGCGCGACGCCGAAACGTCTGCCGAAGACCTTTCCGCTGTGCTGGAACGCTACGCCATAGACAACCGGGAAAACCCGGCTCATGGCGCGTTGCTGTTCTCGTGCCTGGGACGTGGCAAATACCTCTACGGCAAGTCCAACCACGACACCGAAGTGTTCCACGACAAGGTCGGCGCAACCGTGCCTTTGGGTGGCTTCTTCTGCAATGGAGAGATTGGGCCGGTAAGCGGGACCACCTTCCTCCACGGCTACACCAGTAGTTTCGGAATCTTCCGCCCCCGCGGGTAAAATCCCCTCTCCCTTTACGGGAGGAAGGGGAAAACGGGCATTTTTCTGCCATTGCGAGCGCCGGCCGCATATCATTGCCGGCTGCACACCCTGCCCATTTGGTTGCCGCGTGTTACATCTCGGTTCGATGATAATTAGGTGGAGATGATAAACTTGTCCCATGACGTCCCCACCCACAATTAATGTTGGCATTTCAGTATCCCTGACCGGCCAGTTCGCCACGCAGGGACGGCAGGCACTGGCCGGGTTGCAAGCGTGGGTTGATCACACAAATGCCGGCGGCGGCCTGAATGTGGGGGATCGTCAACACCCGGTCTCGCTCGTATACATAGACGACGGAAGCATGGCCGATGGCGCTCGGCGGGCCACGGAGATGCTGATAACCACCAACGGCGTTGACCTGCTTTTCGGCCCCTACTCGGCCGGGCTAACAACCGCCGCCGCCGAGGTTGCCGATTCGTACGGCAGGCTGATGTGGAACCACGGGGGGGCGGGCGACGCTGTATATGCCCGGGGATACCGCAACGTCGTCGGCATCCTCACCCCTGCTGATCGCTACCTGGTTGGCGCACCCGTGTTGGCTCGCCAGGCCAATCCGGACGCTGGCTCGCTGGTTATCGTCCGAATCGACACCGGCGCGTTCGCAAGGACGGTCACCCGCGGCGTGGAAACTGTCGCTCGCGACCTTGGATTCAAGACGACCCTGGAGTTGCGATATCGTCCCACGCAATTTCACTTTACCGAGATCGCCCGCGCCATCGCCGAAAGGGAACCGGACCTACTCGTAGCGGTGGGCCGCATCCGCCACGATGTTGCATTGGCGCAGGCCATCGTCAACCTGCAAACGGTGCGCCATATTGGGTTGGCCGTGGTGGTGGCCACGCCCATCGCCGAATTCGCCGAAGCATTGGAAGCCGGCGCCGACCGATTCATCGGCCCCAGCCAGTGGGAGCCGGCCGTAAGCGTCGCCAATCCCGACTTCGGTCCCACCGGAGTACAGGCGGTGAATCTGCTGCAAAGCGCCGCCGTCACTGCGGGCCTTCCCGTGGACTATCCCATGGCTCAGGCATTTGCCGCCGGACTCGTGGCGGAGCGTTGCATACAAGAGGCCGGTAATGTCGACGAATCCGCACTTCGGGAAGCCGCCAGTGCGCTGGACTTCACAACCTTCTACGGGCGCTTTCGCATCGACGAAGCCGGCCGGCAGGTGGGTCGCTCAGTGGCCCTGGTGCAAAGGCAACACGGGGACAAAGTGGTGGTGTGGCCCCCTGAGTCAGCGGACGGCCGACTGAATTGGCCATACGCTGCACCATGAAAAACCCCCTCTCCCGGTGGAGAGGGGTTGCTGTTGATTAAATCGCCCCCTTCCGGTAGGGAAGGGGGGTCCAGGTGGGGCCTGATCATCCAGCAGGGCGTGATTTCCAGGAAAGCGGAAGATTGGCAATCCCCGCGATCGGCGGCTACGATTCCAGCTTGACCGGATTACGAAGGACGCCGATACCGCTGATGTCGATCTCACAGACGGCGCCGTCAGCCATGTCGGACGTTGTGCCCGGCGTGCCCGTAAAGATGCAGTCGCCAGCCTCGAGCGTAACGTACCTCGTGATGAACTCGATCATCGTCGGCACGTCGAAGATCAGGTGAGCGGTGGTTTCGTTCTGCTCTTCGTTGCCGTTTACCCGCGTCCGCAAGTGCTGGGCGTGGGGGTCAGTATCGGTTTCGATCCACGGCCCCATGGGCGAAAACGTGTCTGCCGACTTGGCACGCCACCAGTCCGAGTTGTTCTCCCGGCGGTCTTTCTGCTGCCAGTCGCGGGCGCTGACGTCGTTGCCGCAGGTGTAACCCAGCACGTGATTCAGCGCGTCTTCCTTGGTTACGTTCTTGCACCTGTCCTTGATGACAACGACCATCTCGCCCTCGGCGTCAAATCGCTGTACCTCTTTGGGACGGATGATGGAGTCTTCCGGACCAATTACGCTGGTAGGGGTCTTGTGGAAGATCATTGGGTATTCTGGAGCGGGCCGGTCGCCGACGTGGCTGGTGTAATTCAAACCCATCGCCAGGATTTTCCCCGGGTGCACCGGCGCCAACAGCTTGACGTCGGACAGGCTGTGGACGTGGTCGGTCAGTTTGACCGGAGAATCGAAAAGACTCCCCTCGATGGCGGTAACCTGGTCGCCGTCGACAACGCCGTAGTGTTCGGAGCCGTGGGCGAGATAACGGGCAATCTTCATGGTGCAGTGGCCTCCTAGGCAGTGATAAAGCAATCAGTTAGTGTCGATTATTGTAACCGCCCACACTGAAGTTGACTACCGTCGGGCGTTGCTCCTGTTTGCCAGGCAGGGTCAGTGCTCCAGCACCAGCTTGCCAAAGAAATCGCGGTCGTGCATAACCTGGTGCGCCTCTGCCAACCCGTCCATGGGGAACGTTCGCCCGACAATCCCGTGCAGCGCACCCTGATTCACCATCTTCATTACGTCCGCCATCGACCGGCGGCTGCGGCCTCCGCTGCCCATAAGGTGCAGTGGCCGCCCGTGCAGGATTGACAGATCCATGGGTGTCTGACTGCCCGACGTCACGCCGGTGATAACCAGGCGTCCTTCGTGTTTCAGCGACAGCATGTTCTCGTGCCAAACGTCGGCGCCGACGCAGTCGAACACCACGTCCACACCCTGACCGTTGGTCATCTCGCGCACCGTGTTGCTGATGCTGTCCACCTCGCGATAGTTGATGACCTCGTCGGCGCCCAGTTTTTTGGCCTCGTCGAGCTTCCAGTCGCTGCCGGCGGTGGTGATGACGCGGCATCCCATCATTTTGGCAATCTGGATGCCCATGCTGCCCACACCCGAGCCGGCGGCCTGCACCAGTACATCGTCCCACGGCTGCAGCTTGGCCTGCGTGATCAGGCAGTGCCAGGCCGTGTGGGCCGCGATGGGCAGGGCGGCGGCTTCTGTGAACGACATCTCATCGGGAATTGTGTAGGCGTTGATGGCTGGCGCCGTAACGTACTCGGCGTGGCCGCCATCCACATCGACCCCGATGCGCAGTTGGCGCGAGCACCACTGGTCGTTGCCGCCGGCGCAGTGTTCGCAGAGATTGTGACCCTCGCATTTCACGCGGTTATCCAGCAGGACCCGGTCGCCAACCTGCAGATTAGCGCCGGAGTCAGGGCTGACCTGCATCACCTCGCCGGCGATATCGCAGCCCAGGATGTGAGGGAAGCGTCGACAGTTGTTGGCACGGAGGTTCAAATCCAGGTGATTCAGCGCGCTGGCGCCCACCCGCAGCAAAATCTCGCCAGGGCTAATCTCCGGCTCGGGACGGTCTCCGACCGTAAGCACGTCGGTACCCTCCGGTTTCGTTGATATAAACAGCCTTCATGGTGGTTCCCTCCGAATGGTGATGGAGGCAGTGTAAAGGCAGCGATGGACGCCGGCAAACCAAGACATGGTAAGATTCTGCGCCCATTCTCCTATCCTTTGCGGGGTGATGGTCCCGATATGCAACTCCCTGGCGCGCCGGTTGCGGTGTGGAGGCCTGGATTGGCAGCCTTGGCGTTGAGTCATTTGACGCGGCGAAACGGGTGGCAAACACGTTGGAGTACTTCTCGGGACGCAATCCATCCCAATTCTCCGAAGAAAACGCCCGCAACTCATTGAACGAGATAGTGTTTCGAGACCCGTTGCCAAGTCCGTATGTCGCGTTGGGGGTTGGCGCCGGAGTGGACGATGAAGGTCATTTCATGGCCCTGGCTTTAGCGCACTATCGGCCTGAATTCGCAATCCAGAACCGGGAGATGCTGGTGTCCAGAATCCTGCATTACGGGGATCCGTTCATCCAGTTTTCGAATGTGAATACATCCGATCCTGCCCGTCAGATTGCTCCAACACTCTGGGCGGAAACATTGGGGGCGAGCAGCATCGAGACTGACGTGAACGGCAGCAGTCTGACGGTCAGGGTTCGTGGCGATTTCGCGGGGGCTCGCTGGCATTCATCAGTTCGGGATTCCCCTCCTGCTGTACGAATAGGGGCAAGGATCGTTAACCATCCTACCCGCCCAGTTTCGGCCACTCATCCATAGCCCGGATTCCTGTAATCCGGATTCCTGCTACAATTCCACCACGCATAATTTAGGTAATCACCCCGCGCTACGGAGGTTTCCGATGCCCGTTTTTCAACCCGAATACCTGCATAAAGTCGCCGTCCACATCTACCGGGCCAAAGGCACCCCCGCAGATGAGGCCGAAATCGTGGCCGCCCACCAGGTCAAGGCCAACCTTACCGGCCACGACTCGCACGGTGTCATCCACATCCCCGAATACTGCGAGCGAATCGACCGCGGCCACATCGTACCTGGCGCTCCTTTCGAGGTAATTAGCGAGACGCCGACCACCGCCGTCGTCGATGGGCACTGGGGCTTCGGGTTCGTCGTAACCGAAAGGGCCACCCGCATGGCAATTGCCAAGGCCAAGGAGAGCGGCGTTGCCGCCTTGACCATCCGCCACCAAAGCCATATCGGCCGCCTCGGCGATTACCCCACCATGTGCGCTCAGGAGGGCATGATCGCCCTGCTGACGGCCGACTCCGGAGCTGGCCCCAAGGCCGTTGCGCCTTTCGGCGGGCGCGCACGTCGCCTGGGAACCAACCCAATTTGCATCAGTGTGCCCAGCAACCTGGAAGGCCAGGTGCTTCTCGACATGGCGACCTCGGCGGTGGCGGCCGGTAAGATCTCGCTGGCCCGCAACCGCGGTGAAGCCGTACCGCCCGGTTGGATCGTCGACAAAAACGGTGACCCGACCACCGACCCGAATGACTACGCTGCCGGTGGCGCCATCCTGCCCGTGGGCGCCGATCAGGGCCATAAGGGTTTCGGTCTGTCGTTCATGGTAGAGATGTTCTCCGGTCTGCTCACCGGCCTTGGTTTCGGCATCGACCCGCACGCCCGCCACAACGACGGCTGCTTCCTGGCTGTTTTCGACGTGTCCAAATTCCGCCCGCTTGAGGACTTCAAGCAGGAGATGACCGAGTTCGCCGAATTCGTAAAGACCTCGCCGCCTGCCGCCGGGTTCAGCGAAGTGTTCTACCCCGGTGAAATCGAACATCGCACCGAGCAGCAGCGTCGCAGAGACGGCATCTTCGTCGAAGACGAAACCTGGCGTCAGATCACCGACCTGATGGCAGAAGTCGGCGTAACCGAGGCAGTCGGCCAGCCCTAAGTAACACCAGAGCCGGCGCTATCCGGAGCCCGGTGGGGAAAGGTTCTAATGGATTCTTTCACGCCGGGCCTGCCACATGAGTTACTCCTGTGGCACGTATTGTTTCTGTTCGCGTCGTCATTTTTTATCGGCTTGTTGGGCGGTTTGATCGGCCTGGCGTTGGGAACGCTGCGTTTGCCTATTATGCTGCTGCTGGGCATTCCCGCCCCGGCGGCAGCGGGAACCAACATCCTGATAAGCAGCGTGGCCGCCATCGTCGGCAGCTATCGACACCTGCGCGACGGGCGCGTGCAAGCCCGCATAGTCATGGTGGTCGGCTTGCCCACATTCGCCGGCGCATTCATCGGTGGACTATTCAGCAGCCGGGCGCCGGAAAATCTCCTCATCGGATTGATCGGCGGGCTCATCCTTTGGCAAGGTATCGCCATGGCCCTGCTGGCCCGGCGTCGGAGAAAGTCCTTTGCGGAACGCCGGCAAAGAGTCGACGAACTGGATAGTTCAGGTGGTGGGTACCAGGCGGCGCGACTCGTCGCCTCCGCCGGAGCAGGTCTGGGCGTCGGTCTGTTGGGCGGCGCCGTCGGCCTGCTGCTTGGCTCCGTTCGACTGCCGCTCATGTTGCGAATCCTGCGCACCGATCCCCGGGTCGCCGCGGGCAGCAACATGCTGATCGGAATGGTAATGGGCGCCCTGGGCTGGATTGGGCATCTGTTGTACGGCCAGTTTGATTGGAAGTTGTTGCTGATATTGGGTCCCACCGCCATCGTGGGCAGCTATCTTGGCGCCCGACTTACGGGCCAGATTGACCGAAATCTGCTTATCCTGGTAATGGGAGTGGCGTTGACAGGTTCGGGGATAATGTTGATATGGCGGTCGTTGAGCGTCTTCCTGTAATAACGCAGCCGCCAATCGGAATCACACATTCAGGCTGCAAACTGCCATGACCCTCTCAGAAATCGGTCTGCCCTCCGACGTTGTCATCTGGCACGCGGCCCTGCTGACGGTTATCTCCTTCCTGGTGGGCATACTGGGCGGGTTCGTCGGGTTGGCGCTGGGCACCATGCGTCTGCCGGCCATGCTTCTGCTGGGAATGCCCGCGCCAATCGCCGGCGGCACGAACATTCTGGTCAGCAGCCTGGCGTCCCTGGCCGGCACCATCCGGCACCTGCGTGCCGGGCGGGTGAACCTGCGCATCGTGCTTACCATGGGCGTGCCCGCCTTCATTGGTGCGTTCATCGGCGGATTGCTCAGCGACCGCACTCCTGATGAGCTGCTGATTGCTCTGGCCGGAGCGCTGGTTTTCTGGCAAGGCGCTGAGTTCCTGATCATCGCCCGCAACCGGATGCAAGCGGGACGTTCTGATGGCGCTTTGTTTGGAGCAGGTCTTGAGGGTTCCGCCGGATTGTTCACCCCCAAGCGCGTCGCGTCCGAGGGCGTGATAGGGTTCGCCGTCGGAATGCTGGGTGGAGCCGTGGGTCTGATCCTGGGCAGCATCCGGTTGCCGGCGCTGGTTCGCATCCTGAGAGTTGATCCCCGCATCGCGGCCGGCACCAACCTGTTCATCGGTTTCGTGATGGGGGGCGCAGGATGGGTCGGCCACGTGCTTTACGGGCAGGTGGACTGGATTCTCCTGGTGCTGATGGGCGCTGCGGCGATGGTCGGCAGCTACCTGGGCGCCAATCTCACCGGCAAGGTGAACCTGAACCTGCTGATCCTCGTGATGGGTCTGACTCTGCTGGCGGTGGGCGCGATGCTGGTGGGCCGAGGCGTGGCGGTATTGCTGTAGGCAGGGCTCGTCTTAAACGAATAACCCCTCTCCCGGAGGAGAGGGGCGTTCAGGCTCAATCAGGCTGGATACCGGCTCGACGCGGGTGATGTTAGAGGAAGGGTCGATCCGCTTGTCCCGTCTCAACCTGCCGCTGGATCACCCGAGTTTTCCGGGATTGGGTTAGCTTCGCCCTGTGGGTCTTGGTCTCTGCCCAGGCCACGATGTGAGGCACTGCCGCTTCAACATCCCGTTGGTCGACCTGGCGAGCAGTGGAGTTTGCCTGGCAGCGGAGCAGCATTATCGGCAAACGGTTCTGGATTTTGTCCAGCGTCCAGGCCAGCGAATCTCCCTCGGCGGTGAAGTCCAGCTCCAGGCGATGGTTTTGCCCAATGGGCGCATTCCGGTAGTGGTAGTGGGGGCTGATCCGGAAGCAGTCGAAGCGCAACAATTCCTTGTCGTCACCTTCAATATCGTTTCCGTAAACGTGGATGCAGATCCCCCTCGTCGTTCATGGCCCCCACGTTGGTGCGGTACTCCAACCCGAAGCTAACCGCCCCGGCGGCGATGAGCTCCTCCGAACCCGCGGTGGATCCTCCCATTTGAGCGTGCATCTGTTCAGTCATTTTTCCGTACCTCCTTCTTCATTGACCGACTGGAAGCATAGTCCTGGGTCGGCGTTCTATTCAAATCCGATTATACTACGACAAAACTCGGCGAATTGCGTTGATACTACTTCAGAGGAAGGGGAAAACTAATCAGAGTTACCGGGTGCTGGCCCTGGAATCACGGATGAACCAGTGCTGAAGACTCACCCCAGCACATGACCGCGCCGTCTTTACGTAGCCCACAGGAATCAGACACTCCGCTGCTGATGGTCACGAAGGTCTCGCCATCTGGTGGGCTTGTTTGGCCATATCCGTTATCTCCCTCTCCCCAGCACACCACCGTCCCGTCTGTGCGCAGCCCGCAGACGTGCAACGCACCGCTGCTGATGGCCACACGAAGGTCTGGCCGTCAGGGGGGCTTGTCTGGCCAAATCTGTTAGAGCCTGTCTACGATCTTTTTAGGATTAGCACCATGAAGGCAAGCACCACCATTTGCAGGCTGGTATTGAGCTTTCTTTCGCAGTTCTTCCAGAGTCGGCGGCACTTTTCCAGCCAGGCGAAAGACCGCTCCACCACCCATCGCTTCGGCAGCACCACGAAGGTGTGCAGTTCGTTGCGTTTCACTACTTCCACCGAGGCTCCCAACAGGCCTTGCACCGCAGTGGCAAAGGGCTTTCCGGTGTAACCCCCGTCCACCAGCACGTTCTGCACCATGCTGAGGTCGTCCCGGCGCCGGTCAAACATCGCCAAAGCCCCAGCCCGGTCGGTAACGTCGGCGGTAGTCACGTGTATCGCATGGGGCAATCCTTGCGTGTCCACCGCGAGGTGACGCTTGATTCCCGACACCTTCTTGCCCGCGTCATAGCCCTTGTGCCCGGCGGTGTCCGTGTTCTTGACGCTCTGGGAGTCCACGATGCAGAAGCTGGTCTGCTCTTTCCGTCCATTGCTTTGTCGGGCCGCGCCAACCGATTTTTTTAGGACTTGCTCCAGAATGGAATCCTGACCCGGGCCAGGCCGCTCGCTCCATTGCCGGAAATACTTGTAGCAAGTGCGCCAATTGGAGAAGTCCGCGGCAGCATTCGCCACTGGCACCCGCTTTTCAGAGGTACAGTACGCCGCAGAAAACGTCATACAAGTCCACGGTGCGGGGCTTGGTCCGGCGGCGGGCCGACTCCAACGTCGGCAGAATACGGGCGAATTGCTCCCGGCTGATGTCGCTGGGATAGGAATGAGACATGATTACCCCTCCCCTGATAATAGTCTCAACTTAACCTATTTCAGAGATCGTAGACAGGTTCTTAGATCCCCAGCACACGGCAGCACCATCTTCCCTCAATCCGCAGGTGTGCATCCGCCCACTGCTCAAGGCGGTGAACACCTCACCCTCCGGTGGGCTTGTCCGGCCAAATTCTCTATTGCCCCAGCACACCGCCGCGCCATCTTCCCGCAACCCGCAGGTGTGATACCGTCCACTGCTCAAGGCGGTGAACGCCTCGCCCTCGGTTGGCGTGGCCCGACCAAAGTCCCCAATTCCCCAGCACACCGCCGTCCCGTCTGTGCGCAGCCCGCAGACGTGAAACGACCCGCTGCTGATGGCAGTGAACGCCTCACCCTCCGGTGGGCTGCTCTGCCCTAACAGGGTGTTGAATTAGGGCGTCTCGGGTAAACGGACTCAGAACGAGCATCGGATTGTTCACGACATTCGTCGAGTTGAATGCAGGATCCATCTAATCCAATCGAGGAAATCAATAAAGTGCTGATTATGGTCGCTAGATTTTGAGCTCCGGGCGGGCGCGGGAGTTTTTCAACAGCCTGCTATTATTACAACGACAGTTAATCTGACCGGGTGATTTTCGCGACCCATTTGGACCTGAACCGTACTGCCATGAGCTTACTGCGATTTCTCACTCGTGGCCGAATACGAAGGATTGAATTGATGGATACAAGGGACTTCAATTTGATGCGCGCGTCCGCGGTGGTGAAGCGCCAGTCCACCCGTATTGTGTCCCGATTGCGCTGCTGCTGCCACGCGCCTGTTTCCCGCCGCAGAACCCCCTGGTCTGGAATGCGGCGGTTCAGGCATTGGCGGGCCAGCACCCCCAGTTCTATCTCGGCCATGTTCAGCCAGCTGCCATGCTTGGGCGTGTAGTGAATCTCCAACCGCTCCGCGATGCGCCGCGCCTCCGCCGGCTCAAATGCCTCGTACAGGGACGCTGGGTGATGGGTGTTCAGATTGTCCATCACTAGTACGATCCGGTCTTTGTCCGGGTAGTCCTCGTCCACCAACTTCCTGACCACCCGCGCCCAATCGACTTTGGTACGCCGGTCCGTAACTTCCACCCGGCGCCACCCCTCCAGCGGCGCGAACAACATAAACAGGTTGCTCACCCCGTTGCGCTGGTATTCGTAATCGTAGGCCCGGGCCGCCCCAGGCCGCGACGGGCGGGGCTGACGGGTCTCGCTTACCTGCTGCTTGCTGGTCTCGTCCAGGCACACCAGCACTTCGTTGTCTCCATAGGGGCGATGATAAACCTCCAGCACGTCTTCCATCGCACATACGAACTCGGCGCTGCCTTGGGGCGGGATGCACCAGCACTCCTTCAGCCAAGGCTTGAGTTCGTTTTTTTCAGCGTCTGCCGCACCGTTTCGGTGCTGATGCTCTCCACTATCTTGCATTCAACCAGCCGGTCCGCCAGCAATTTCAGCGTCCAACTTACCCGGCCCAGTGGCGGTTCGGCGCAGGCCAGGGCAACCAGGCGGGCTTCCCCCTGACCGTCCAACTTCTTCTGACGGCGATTGAGTTGCTCCCGGCGTCCCAAGGCCGCCTCCACACCCTCCTCCACACAGCGGCGGCGTACCCTTTCCACCGTCGCCCGGCCAACTTGGAGGGACCGGGCGATATCCCCGTCCTTCATCACCCCGTCCCCTTGCGCCTCATCGCTCAACAGCAGAATGCGAGCATGGGTCTGCCGGTAGGCCGCCGCCCGCCCTCTCGACACCATTGCCTTCAATTCCTGCCGCTCCTCCACACTCAGTTCGACCCGGTACTTCTTCTCCATCACTCACTCCCCGCACCTTATTCTTTAGCTCCTTTAATTCACCTCATTATCCATCAGT